TATTATATAAAACTTGTGTCAGACCACTACTTGAATATTGTCCATCTATTCTCAGCAGCACTCGCGTAAGTGACAAACTTAAAATGGAAAGTGTCCAACGATACTTCACGTCTAAACTACTAGGATTTGACTGCGAAAAGGACTACACATCAAGGTGTATAACTCTAGGTATCGACCCACTCTGGATGAGACGACTGAGCATTAACCTAACATTCTTCTTTAAAATATTGCATAAAATATCATTCTCAGACAGCAAAGAGATACAGTTCTCACCGGAAGGCTCTTACAACCTTCGTAACCGAACGTGCACAGTATCTAGGAAAAGCTGTAAAACAGCACTCCGTGCAAACTTCTTCATAGTCATGTACTCTAAGATCTGGAACAGTTTACCCCTAGAAATAAGGACCTGTCACTCTATCATAACCTTCAAACGCTTGCTATATAAACTGCTTCATCCCAATGACTATGCCAATCACACCGCACCACTTATTTCCAAAACGCATGAGCTATTAGAACACTATAACGCCTAGACTCATTACTAAATATTACGACACTAAATAAACTCTAAGACTTCGCAAAATTACATAAAAAAACAACAAGATTATGGGTAGTGTTTACTATACAATGATATACATTTATAATCATTTATATGTACATAAAATAATAAAGTTCTTTTCATATTTACATACTTTATCTCCCTGCTGAGCGTAAACTTCTATATACCTCCTGGTTGAGGTCGAACAACCCAACATCCAAACTGAAATGACCATTTATGTAAATTCAAACTCAAATTCCATGAACGATCCGATGCAACCACTTGAAAACGCTGGCTAACATTCTGTACAAGGAGTATTCTTGATCTGAAATAAAGAAGCAACTGGTTTTCAAACAGTTATCAATGTATTACTCAACTTACATGTACAGTCTGCCATGCTGACGCAAATGGCGCAAATGGATAGTTCTAGAATTGACCCCATTTGATGCAGTAAAACAATCTAACATGACTTTATCTAACTTTCGTATCAAAGATCAAATTTCTTTCCTATTATAAAACTACGATAAGACTGCTGACAAAAATGGAATAAATACATTATTGAATCAAAATAATACATCAATAAACTTTATCTCACGGATGCTGTTCACAACAAAGTTTTATAGGAGAATTGACTTCAAGCTTTATTTTTCCCAGATATTTGTATCACACTCATCTGAAGTCTGGGTTTTTTGTTAATGCGAAGACAATATTTCTATATCTCTTTATGTGTTACACAGACAGACTATTTTGCAGACTGTTCTGACTGACCCTAATGTTAGATTGAACAAACAAACTGTAATTTATATAATAACTTATCCATGCCTGTACAATTGGTATGTTCCTGCATAAACAGGAATAAATATATATATATATATAAAACTGTGCAGATTGTATAGGGGCACTGCCGCTCCTCAAGGCAAACCATCCCCACTGAGGGTAACACTAGGCTCTACCGAAGATGCCGAAACAGTTTTATTGACTTCCCAAGTCCTTTCTATAAGGAGGACTTGCAATATACGTGTTAGGCCAGATAGGCCATGGAAGGAAAGACAGATGGCGAGGGAGTCACCAGAGCTTATTCCTTCTGCCTCCATGGTTGTTCACGGCATTCCCGAACTGGGAACTGGGAACGCTTGTGAGAAGCACTGTCACGATGTACAGCAATGGAGATGGTTGGCATCCCAGATGGGTCTGGGAAGTTCAGGGGCCGTCTCTATTTTTAGACTGCCTCGACCCACTCACCTAATGTCAATTAACACTTCACGTCTGTTAGCTGTTAAGTTCAGCTCCCGAGACCACTTGACTACTGCTCTCCAGAGATGGTACGAGACCAAGGACAAGGTCAGCAGACACATTCGCTGCTGCGAGAGCCGGCTTCGTACCCAAAGGAGAGAACAAAACGTTGTCATAGAACATCCCCAACCCCTAGTCACAATACAGCGGTGCAGCACGGACGATGATAGCCAGTGTCATCCAAATGCTCCGATTGAATCAGAAGGAAAAAACGCCAACATGCTGGTTCTCGGGGAATCGGCCAACTAGTTCGTAGGATAACTCCTCAACCGACAGCCCACATCACGTCAACCACCCGTCAATACGGGGACGTGGTGAGACTGACTACCAGTTGCCTGTACAGTAATGTGAGAGGTCTAAGAGGCAAAATAGCTGAACTTAGATACCTACAATCACAGCTGAACTCCAAAATCATAATACTGACGGAAACCTGGCTAACCCCTACGGTGGCAGACAGCGAAGTCAGTATAAATGATATGGTCCTAGTCAGGCGAGATAGGGATCTGAAAGAAGGAGGTGGAGTCGCCATATACGTCGACAAACAGCTCAGATGTGTGCATGCAATCGACCCTCCCCTCATTGAGCTCCCTGACTCCATATGGTGCCATTTCACCGTTGGGTACTGTAAGTATCTAGTGGGCAGCATTTACAGATCACCTTCATGTGGAGCAGACCACAACCAGGTACTGCTGAATGCAATTTCAGCGACACAAAACATGGGTTATGATCAAATTGTCATAGCTGGAGACTTCAATGCCCCATCTCTTAACTTGATGACGGGATGTGCCCAGGACAGATTTGATCGAAGTCTGCTGCATACCATCACGGAGGCCGGATTCACCGAAAATGTCAGAAGAGATACTAGATGGGGCCCAGATGGGAAGTCTTCTAGACTGGATTACGTGCTCACTAGTGACCAGCTACTAGTGGAAAACGTTCAGATCACGACTGCCATAGGTAGTAGTGACCACGCGGTCATAACATTCGACATAGTCCTTCACGAGCGTTTACAGTGGGACAATACACAGCCCTATCTGTGTTATAATAAAGCCAATTACACCGAAATGCGAAGACTTTTGTCTGAAGCAAATTGGCCAAAAAATTGGACAGAGCTTACAGTAGAAGAACACTGGGGAGTGGTAAAGGAGATCATTCACCACGCGGTCTCAGACACTGTTCCTTTAGTCACACCTAAAGCTAGAAAGCAACGTTCATGGCTAAAAAGGGGGACACAACGCCTTCTACAGGCGAAGCGAAAAGCCTGGTCTGCGTGGCGAGTATCGAAGAGTCAACCCGAACATGAAGTGTACCTCGAACTCAGGAATCGCTTTAACATACGAGTCCGGAGTGATAGAAGGACATTTCAGAGAAACCTCGCCAATAAGCTTCTCGTGAACCCCAAAAGCCTATACAGGTTTAAGTCTAAAAGAAAACCGACCAACCAAGGAGCTTGCAATCTAGTGGGTTCTGATGGGAAATCTCTTACTAGTCTTGAAATGGCAGAGACATTCAGTCTAGCCTTTCACAGGCAACTGAACAGTAATGAGGATTTTACCCCCACAAAACATCAAGATTGCAATGCAAGACTCGACTTTGCGAAAGCATTCGACACAATTCACCATGGTCTGCTCCTTCACAAAATAAGCAAAGCGGGTGTTTCTGGAGCACTTCTCGCATGGCTGGAAGATTATTTAGGCGAGAGAGAATTCTGCACCAAAGTCAACCGCATCCGATCATCCTGGCGCACCTCGGCATCAGGGGTTCCTCAGGGTTCTATCTTAGGGCCGTTGATGTTTTTGATTTTTATCAATGACCTGCCCTGTCAACTGAATTGCTCTGCGCTTCCTTACGCTGACGACGTAAAGATTTGGAGAGCAATAAACTCATCGGAAGACTCCGACAGATTGCAGGCTGACCTGCAAACGCTGGGAGACTGGGCTCTGGCTAACGGGATGCCTTTCAACTCAAAGAAGTGCAAAGTAGTGCAACTTCATTCCGGCAGGTCACAGAGTGCAAATTACACTCTTGGTGGCCAGAACTTGAGATGTGTGCCATCAGAACGCGATCTAGGCCTTATTTTAACAGAAAAGCTAGACACCAGTGTAAATACACGAGGGACGTCGCCAAAGCTTACGCCACTTTACACTTTATGCATAGGCAGCTGGGAGCTCTTACTCCTGAACTATCCCTAACGTTGTATACGACATACGTGAGGCCACTCCTTGAGGTGCATAATATCATTGCTCCTCCGCTACTCAAAAGGGATGCTAACATTCTAGAAAGTGTCCAGAGACGAGTGACAAAATGGGCGATCGGCCTCCGCAACAAGTCATATGAGGAGAGACTGAGGAAATTAAGTCTTTTCACACTTAGTTACCGTAGTCACAGGGGAGACCTCATCACCGTCTATAAGATCTTAAATGACCTGGCCCACCCTAATAAGAGCATCCTGCCATTAAGTGATTATAGGCTTCCGCGAGGTAACCCGCTAAAGATAGCACACCAGAGACCAAGGACTCGAGTGCGTTCACATTTCTTTTCGCTTCGAGTTTGCCGTCTCTGGAACGCTTTACCGGCGGCCATGACTACAGCGCCATCTGTGGAGACTTTTAAGCGGAAGCTGGACAATCATGCAGAAATGCATGGTTTGTGTCTCAATGGCTTACCCTCTTAAAATTTGAAGCCACATTGTCAATGGATAAGCATACAAGCTAAATCCCCACGACCCGTCCTGTCTTCTCCCACTGTACCGACTACTCTATCTTTTCTTTCTTTCTTTATTATTTCACCTTTATTATTTCACTTATCTCAACCTATATTATCTACACTACAACCTATTATTATTACTATTCTACTTTTATGACTATACCGAATGACCAACGGGTGTTAGGTCAAACTCCATTCACGGCAGCAGCTGAGTCCTAACATACTGCACACTACAAACCACAATCTTGACCAATCCTCGCACCACTCCTCTTGGAGTCTACCAGAGCTAAAGCAGTCGAGTGGCGGGATTTACTATGCATAAGTTCACCGAAGATCTGGAACCTCTACCTTACAATCAAGAAGCGAGCTCAAAGAAATCACTGGTTTATACTAGCTCGTAATCAGGATATTGGATATTGGAAAACTGAAGGTCATTACAGCGAACATTTTTGAGTGTGGCGTTGCAATGGAGATCCTACAACATCCTCGTGCTTTTCTGAGTAGTGCTGTTAGAGAAGTCAGTGCGCTTTCCCAGCTGAATCTTGATGAAGATGTCCCATCTATTCAGGCAGCGAATTTTCCAGTTTTGTTGCAAGTAATTTGTTGATAGTTGATATATTTCTCAGTCTAATACGGATACCAATTTCAATGATATAACAGCTTTTAAGTCTTCCTTTGCACGTTCTGCTGAGGATGCTAGAGTATATGCACATCTAAATACCCTCTTAGAACAAGGGCAGGAATATGCTACTATGTTATACACGTGGAGGTCAATATCCAGAGCGCTTCCTTTTGTAAGTTCAGTGTAGTTGAATTATTTTAAATAGATCAGATCTAGTGATCAGCCTAACAGAATAAAAATATATGAAAAAACCAAAGAGATATTGGAGCCTCATTGTTTGAAGCTTAAGCAGTTTATGTTCTTCCAGGTATATCGTACTGACTTATCTCATTTCTCTACCAGGATGCAGCAATACGAAGGTTTGTGGAAGAAGTAAAAAGACTAGCCCATAAGGACCAAAAGAATTTCTTCGTAAATCAGGCATATCTAGTTACTCTTGGAAAAATGATAAAGATGTTTGCCTTGTTGGATGAAATGAAAAACATGAAAGCTAGCATGAAAAACGATTATTCGAATTACAAAAGGTGTGTCCAACATATTTCCTCTTAATGAATTATAGAGCTGCCCAATTCCTCCAGGTTCACGATCCTGATGCTCAGGATGTAAGTATATTCCTGGCGAAGCAGAAAATTATTCGTGATACACTGAAAGACAGCCTAATTGCTGTAGATGGTTATGAGGATCTTCTAGTGGAAATTATTCATAACAGCGCTCAAATGTATGAAAATAAAGTATACGTGCTCCCTGAAGAGAAGCACACGCATGTTATAGTAATTTCGAATATACCCTTTTCCTATATTTTCAGGTCATAGCATTTTCTCTCTATCTCCTTGACTCTGCTCGTATGGTAGACGGCAAACAAATAGGAGTTTGCCTAAATAAGATTGCAAAGCGCTTAAACATAAGCAAATTGGATCGGATTCTGAAAGTAAGTACAAATAATCCTTGTTTTAACTTCATTAGGAATGTGAAGTGGTCAATCTATTCGGTGATATGAGTGTGGAACCCTTTTCTTATGTTCGTCAAACAGCATCGTTTGACCCATCCAAATGGCCTGAGTGTCACAGCACAAAGGTTTCTATTCAAGGAGCGATCCTAACGCATATGGCTCGATTTCAGTGAGTGTTTGGTTTTCATACGTAACTTGATTGTTTTTATTTAAATCATCTTACCTACCACTCAACTGTGGTGTGAACACGTAATTTGTATATCAAAATTCTCATAGTACTGTTTATTTATGGTCCTTAGTCATAATTTGTACCAGAGTGACTGATATTGTGTATTTGCTCAAGACCGTAGAATACCTAAAAGCCTTTTGAATAACTGATGCATTCATGCAATTCTTACCCTACTCTACAGCTGTGAAACGCAACAGGTTTTTGATTATAAGTGCTTTCTTCAATTTCCGGTGTCGAAAGAAGAACTTTGGGAAGTAGAAATATGGTGGGGTGTAGTGCGTTAGGTAAGAAGTACAATCACATCAATGAAATTATAATATTCTGTCAAACGACGCGACCAGAGCAAGTGCTGTTCGTGTCAAACGACAGTCTTTCTCGATGAGCAGTGTTGATTGAAATAGGAAGAAGTTAGTCGTGGTCAAGTCCAAACATAACTCCGAGGTATTTGGCGATTAATTATTGGTCTGAACTGCGTAGGGAACAATTGCTTGGCACTAGGGTCGTCAGGACGCTAAAAACTTGTGGTTGGATACCCTTTGTGGTATCGCCAAAGACGTTTCACAATGATGCACATGTCTTCATTTCATATTGTCTTCAAATCCTGAGAAGATTCACCAACATTCGTTTAATTATTCTTCTTGTCACATCCAGGTTTCTCTGTTGTATTATCTCTGTGCTTCTTTTCTTTTTGCTTTGCTGACACTCTTCTGCGCAAAGTTCCACGTTAGTTCGTCAGTCGACCATATGGTATCCCAAGGCACTCTTTTTACTGTATGTCTTGCTGATTTGTTTTTTGCCCTTATCTGCACATTATTGCTTATTTGAGCTGTCTATTCCACTAGATTTGATATCATGCGGCCACTCTACTGATTTCTCTTAATCCGTGGCTTTAAGTAATTTATGTGACACCGACACTTAGTAACTGCAGGTTATAGACATTTCGGTGTGATTGGATTGATACATCTTCCATTCTACTCCTGCTTCATCTAAAACAAAAATAGATGGCGATCCAGAATATAGAATACACTTATGTGCTTCACCAATAAGTCAGATTTTAGGCATGGTTTGCTTACGTAGACTTCATACATACCTTACAACTTTATGGGGCTAAAAACAATATCGTGATTAAGAATCCACAAAGGGTTTCCGGTTGTAATTACTTGATTTTGATTTACAGCTTGATTCCACACCGTATTTTCAGTACAAGTATGGAATTTTCAGCATGGATATCGGTAGCCCAAATTCAGGCCGACCATAGATATCGGGTGTGCGCCGGCAGGGGATCGAACCCCGGACCATGTGCATGGTTGGCGAGAGTCCTAACCACTGTGCCACCGACGCACATTACGACTAGCTTATCGCACTGATGTTTTATATTTCATATTGTTTGGTGAATACTTTTATGCTGTGCATTTACAACTGCAGTGAGCTAACTATGGAAGTCGGTTGGGATGTTTTGGGGTTTAAGCACCTATTACAAGTAGACACTGTGTACTTTCCTACTTTAAGGCTGCGAAGCTGCCAATGCATTTGGAAGGTGTGCAAAAACTTTTAGCGGCTTCTGAAAACTGGTGCTTCCGTTTAATCTACCTTATTAGGTAAATCAACGGTCAGCAATAATGAAGTTAGGCATAGAATTAGGTGTGGCTCATGGGCTTGTGCACTCCACGTTCAGCCAGTGGCTCCCGGGCTCGTGTGCCTTACCGCCTGCTGAATTCATCTTGGTCAGCTGGGTAGTATCATCAGTCCCTACATATTAAGTGCAGGTCATAGCATGGTACATATATTGTCTGTACGGATCCAATTATATTTTGCCTTCATCGTAGCAGTCTGTCAGGTCTAATTTCTTTCATGTCGGTCTACAAGAAGCTTGTTTTATCATCTATCCTTAGTAATTACCTTTTCTATGCTTCGTACTTTTAAGCTGTTTTTACAATGTACGATATTGCGAAAATTCCTCTAGGGTCAATTTACACGGTGGATTATGAATAATATCGCTCCATAGATGTCCCACCTCCACATCATGGTTTGCCTGGGGAAGAAAGAAAGAGCAAATGAAGAGTTGAAATCTCACCTAAAGTGTGAGTGAATTTAGCAGAAACAATATACACAGGGTTAATAAGAGAGATAAACACTGGCATGTGACAAGCGCAATATCTGAGAACGTGTATTCAGTAGTATACTTGGTAGTATATACTACCAAGGTGGCTTCTCGTTGGAGATTTGCGAAACGACAAGATCTTAATAACTATGCATTTCAGTCAATTTTTAAGTAATCGAGTCATTGCACTAAGTGATTTGATAGTTATAGTCGGATGAAAATCTTTAATTACGTTATTCTGAATGCTATTCACTCTAGTATTATGGGAGTCCACTCACTCTACATGACTTCTTTATGAATGATAATACCCAACCTCATGTAGTAGATCATTTAATTAGATAGGAACAAACGAATTACCATATATATTTTGTTTTTTCGTTCCTTTGTGTTACAAGTAGAACATAAGGCTTGAACTATGAAGTTTCAGTGGAGGTGTTATTTTTTATGGGGTTAGGTTACTAGCCTTACACCGAACCTTCCCTCTTTACCGAACTTACTACCAGCTAAGTGGAGTGTAGGAGTGCGTTAGCAGGGGTCAAACCCGGATCACGATTGTGCCTGGAGAGCATTATACCAGTAAACCACCGATACACTTTGTGTTTTGGAACACTGAAAAGTTCACAAGAGTTGTATTCAAGGGATGTAAATACTTCAGTCTCTAAGAAATTGATGTGGACAAAAAAACCTTGTACCGTCTAAAAATCCATCAGTTAAAGTAGCCAACAGTATACATATTTTTCGCATAACTCGTACTTCATGTTTGATCTCTTCAGAACTTTTGTTTCATTAAAATGTATTTTAGGGAAGAGTATACGTCACTAACATCAGATTTGGCTTGGCATACAAATATAACTTCGATTCGACTAAATGAACGTTCTGCTAAAGAAAATCAAGAGCTATATGATCTTGCACTTCGAGGTCTGCAATATTTATCAGGTTGGTCTGTACAAGTTTTGGATACATTTACTTGGAAACTTGCTCATTGTGCCAGTGGATTCACAAATCATGAGTGTCCCAAAGATGCGGAAAATTACGAAAAAGTATGTTTTAGTATATTTGAAATTGTATGCATAACGATTTTATCTTATTGACTACTATTTATGTTTGATTCGCAAAAATAGTTGAAAACAGTATTTTATTTGCTAGTTAGTTAATTTTCTCTGTGAAACTTCGCAAATGTGTCGTACAAAGCTGATGTTAAGAGAGGGAAAAAGTTAACGGCGGAGGAGGGGTACTGAAAACAATTTTCGTCTAAGTGATATCCAATATGGTATTTGTTTGGACAGAGCTTTCAGTGCGATTCGAAAGTTGGTAACTTTTAAGTGACATTTGTCTAAATGTATTTTGTCTGATTCGTTGTCTTCGTCTAGATACTGTTGAGCCTATTCGGAAATCCCGTGTATTTTTGACGTGGACTAGTTATTTTTATCGTTTTTGTAATTCACCTAGTTGTACCTATTACCCTAGACAATTTTACTTTGCTTGGTTTCAGTGTTTTCGCTATAATAGTTTTTCCTAGTGGGGTTTATCAAAGACTTCGGTTTACTGCTTTGATTGCTGTTGGCTTGTGTGCGTCCCGTAGTGTTTATTTCATTGCTTAGTGTTGTCTAATGCGCAATTGAGGCACGAGTATAACCAAAGGTAAAGGCATAGTGGTTAGGACGCTCGCCGACCATGCACATGGTCCGGGGTTCGATCCCCGGCCGGCGCACTCCTTTACCTCGCTAAGCCAGAAATAATGCTGGTGAAGAGGAAAGGTTGGGCATGAGGCTAGCAACCCCATCCTGTAAAACAAACACTGCTACAGAAACTTCAAGCCACTAGCTCGAAGCCCTATGTTCCCCTGGGGAACGTGAAGAAAAAAGAAGGCAATTTGTAAACATCCGTTTAGGGAACCAACATGCTAAAATTAGAACGAACAATGCAATCCAAAAGTATCAACAAGAAATCGCATGCATAAAATGATAATACTGTAATGATTGCTGAACTGGAAATTTGCCGTAAAATGATGTATTGTCTTAAAGAGTGTCAAACATACTTTATTAATATCTGCGGTTCATTAGCCTAGACTTGGGGCCCGTCAATTCCTCAGGTCCTTCAGCTTACTTCAGCTAGTTAGGTGTTTGAAACGAGATATCAAGAGCCCTCAAAAAATAAGTGTCACTTGTTATCTACCGTGAAGACATACATGTGATTGCGTTTTTTCAGTGCTTCGTTTTACTTCTTAAGGAATTTAGTTGTAGTGTAAATTAAACAGTGCTACTGTACATGAATTAGTTATTAGACGATAATAAATACAAAAGCTGCCCTTATCAGCATTAATTCATTCGTGCTAAGTAATGAATGATTAAATGTCAGCTGTAGACTAAGTTATAAGACACTAGAGCCTAATTTTTATTTATTTTATTTGATTAAAATGCACACTTGGTACATTATGAACACCAAGAGATGAACCACACCAAATTACATAGTTTGTGCGACGGTTGAGGTACTGTTGGAACACAGGATGAAGTACGTGATTTTTTTTAAGGCACCACTCCTTGCCGACCCTTTGAATTGAAGTCTAGTCCACAAGGGAGTGGAGCAGTGTAAGGAACTATGTTCCCATGGTTTCCAGTGACTAAAACAGGTTCACACGCCATTGGATCCGTTCGAATTCTAGAGCCCATGTTCATCATGCGTTTGGAATCAGGGTTTTTCAGCTGCCCTAGATAGATCTGCATATCAATCAGTACAGTTGTAAGCGCCAGCCGTTCTCATTCTCCCTTTCACTTTTATGAGGAACACCCCTATCACGTGATAAAGACTTCCTTGGAAGAGACTACATACGCGTGGTCACATGAGAGCATTTCAAGAGAAAGACGGATGTCTACCCACCCCGGCTGTGCAGGTCGTGTGTAAGGATTAGAATCCAATTAACAAGAAGCTGTTGAATTAAATTTTATGTTCATTGTTTGGTTTAAAGAACTTAAACCATTATGGAAACCGCATTACTGAATAGTACTTCGTAACCTCTAAAGACACGTCTGTCTTCAACCTCAGCTGATGAATGGCAGCAAGTACAAAGGTTAAGTCACAATGAAGCTCTTATCGATTAACATTAAACCCTAAAGTAAAAGATATTTGTTTTCATAAATTTACAGTATATAGATACCCCCTAGGATGTTTGTTATTCGTTGTATGGATGAGAAGTGTTTCTATGGCGAATAATTGTTTGCATTTGGTGTAAGAAATAAAATATTATTTTACCCTCTCAGTATGCTTGTTGTATACTCAACTTTCTATTCTAATCATTATTATTTTGTATCTTTCAAACTTATTAAGAATATTTTATGTCATAATGGCTGCCTAAAATACTACTTTTACCAATCAAAATAAAATAATGAAAATATTTATCATACCTTTGTAATGTTTACTGATTTCTTTCTGGATGCAGTCCGGAACTAATGCATGCAGGAAGGTACTCTGTTTCTGAGTCCAATTTGATTTCAGTATTGGGCTGTTTTGCTGTAATATCATTCGTAATCTGGGTTTAAAATTATAAACTGCTTTTCAATTACTTTAGGCCACTCGTTATAATTATAATTCAGAAGAACGATTTGCTATGGTTGAAATAATCAGTATGATCAAATCTGTTCAAACACAACTTTTGCGTTTGGAGGCTTGTTACTCAGAGGCTATTGGACGTTCTGTATATCGTGAATTACAAGCAGTTGTTGTTGGTCAGTTGACTGCTCCATTGCTCAAAGCACAGAAGAAAAAGGAACGAATCATGCTGACACGTTTGATACACGCGATTCAAGCCACATGTGCTGATCAGGTAATACATGCATATAATGATTTGTAGCTGCTTAGTACTCATTTTAAAAATCAAAATCTTGTTGTGCATTTTTTTTGTTGGTAAAGTGTGACATTCGACTCCATCTGTTGAGAGGTTTTATGCAGCATATGATTGGATAGTTAGTGGTTAGTGAGGCTTTGTAATGAGAGTTGATGGAGGTCATGGATGGTATTTGTCAGAGGGGTAAACCGTGGATAAAGTATTAGATAAGCCCTGTAAATCGCTTGATGAAATTGTAAAACTGTCACTTTTTCAGAATTCAGACCACGTGTACCTACCTAAAGTTGATGTACTATCTAAATTAAGAGCCAAAATGAAAGAAGACTTATTGTATTTACAGCAGTATAGTATTTGTGAGTTCCGTTATATGGGTCTATTATCAAACCGGAAATGAAGATTATTTAATTTAGACGACACCTTAGAGTTGGTTTCAGTGGTGCTAATCTACTTATTCTTTGACTTTCTAGGCATCCAGTTGCTCTGAACTTCTTGTTCATCTTCGTCTATTTCTTTCCACCTTTCTTGTGTTGTTCTTTAACCATTATTTACAAAATTATTTTTATTCCCTTAGGTTCCGAGTGTAACATAGTGTTTCGGCACTGTATTTCTTTTGCACTCTGTTCTCCACAGTCCTTTTCAGCTGGCTCCATGATTGCCCATAATCTTTCACTTCTTCGCATAATCTCCATATCACCCTCGGACACACACCCTACCGCTAGGGCTTGGCACACGATGTTGCTCAACGGTCTCCTGACTGACTGTCTGCTCAATCCATCTCCATTTCCTTCTTCATATTTGCTTGTTGGATAATAGATTCTTGGTTAGTTCGTCCCCAGAGTTCCTTGTCGCTTATCCTGTTTGGCCAGCCAGCTGGTCTTCAGTATGGAGCAATGACAGCTGTTGATAAAAGTTTGAAGCCTGTTCGAAATGCCTTTGGTCATATACCAAGTCTCTGAACCATTCAGAAGATAAGACTTGCTATTAGTGTTTTAAATTTCATTATACTATTCTTAATTTAGATTGTAAGTCAATTTGTATGTAACTGTGATCCAAGTTTAAAACAGTGAGTGAGTCATGAGTTCAAAGTCCTTTCCACACACACTGAAGTTTAACCAGTGGAATGGCATAATTAAGCCTCGTCTGATTGGTGTGGTTCATTGTCCAAGGCAAAATACTTGTCTATGGTTCCTGATGTTTATGTGAACGAAGCTTTAAAGTTTGTTTGTATTGTAATTATATTTATTGTAAATGAAACATGATTCTCCCTGTTCTTCTTCTTCTAGCTTTCGGATTCAATGGATTCAGAAATAATGAACTCCAGTAGTGGTAGTGGTACAACAGGATCAAAATCATGGGGAAAAGCTGCTTCCTCAAAATTATCCAACTCCAGCAACAATAATAATAGCATGACAGCTGGAGCCAATTCTACACTGGCAGCTGTTGCTGCCTCATTGGCAAATGATAGTCCAACAGGATCTATCAGTACAAATAGTATATTCGATTCAAACAAGCGTCGGGTTGGTCCATCTTCTAGTCAATTATATCTGGTACGAACTATGCTAGAGTTATTAGTTGAACAAGTTTCATCAAGTAAACAAATGATGCGAAAAGAATTGGATGCTTCAACACTGTCAGCGATAGATACATTTTTAAAGCATAGTTTTTATTGGCCATATCTATTAAACTTTAGTGGTAAGTTCATTATGTTGTATCACTTCCTTTTTTTTTGTTTTCTTACTTTCCATGAATTCTCTATTTAGGTTTATTTCTACGATGTATTGTTTATCCCAAAGACATCTATTGCGTGTTTTCACTTGGCTATTTGAATGAGTAACGGTTATTCTCTTTGGTGGCAGAGTTCGGTCGGTCGGTCGGTTTTAGACATAGAACTTTGCACATATGTGCGGCAGTTCAAGTCGCCACACTCCATGTAGCACACAAAGCAAGAGAAGAAAGTAGGAGGAATGCATAATATAGACAGTAAACAGAGGTGTGAGACAAAGGTATAGTAATAACGGAGAACAAAACAGTTTCATAGGTAATGATAAGTCACAAGGAGTGGATGCATCTGCGCCAGCCATTGAGAACGATTTTGAGCTGGCCATATCACCAATTGTTTCCAACCATTGGTTTTTACCGTCCCGAGGACCCCAACCAGTAAGTCTACACCTTCCTACATGGCCTAGACTAACAGTTGTAGATTTCATTGACTAGTGCGATGTTTTCGTTTGACCGCCGCTAGCTCTTTTCCAGCCTGGCCCTATATCAGCTAACATTGCTCGTCGAGGAAGGCGATGACTAGGCATACGTAACACATGTCCTAACCATCTCAGTCGATGTAATTTCACAGTCATGTCGATTGATTTCCCCGCCTTACCTAGCACTCGACGCCTAACCTCAATATTGCTCACCTTATTATACCACTTCACGCGGGAGATAGAACGCAGACACCTATGATCAAAGACAGCTAATCTTTTCATGTCTTCCGCTCTCAATGGCCAGGTCTCACAGCCATAAAGGAGGACGGTGGCAGAGTTATTTGTATATCTTAGCTTTTTATGACTCCAAATGACGTTTCATGAAAGTTATTCCTTTTCGACTGTCTAACTTCACCTATAATCTAGATAGATGCATATTACTCCGTATATACTTTGTGCTGTTTCCAAGACCCAATAACTCATTATTATTATTATTCCGACAACGTAAATTTGATCTTTTACCCAGTCAGTTACGGCTAAAAATGAATAATAAATGAATGTATGCGCTGTTGCTCAAGTGATAATTAATGATTGAAAATAGGTAAATATTGAATAAGGATATCTTACAGGGATTTTCAAGAGTTCCTATAAAGACTGCAAGTTTTAGAGACAAAACTGGATTCCTACACATAACTCAAAAGTATCGAAATGGTGATTTAAATAAATCTTAAATAACTATCAGTGTGAATCAAGTTTCTTGATCAATTTCGGTTGTAATATCTTAAAACAACACAATAATTCATCAGTCAGCAATACAAAAATTTAATTTTCAAGTATTAGTTTATGGGCATTTGATTAGTTTCAAGTTTGATCATGGATCGATATCAGTTGGAGAACCATTAAAAATAAGTAGGTAGTACTGGACAGGTGTTTCGTACTAGTGTGACACTCTTCGCCATTATATGCTCATGACTTTATTGGGGATCAAACCCAAGATATTCAGGTCACAAGACGAAATTGTAGACCATTCAGCCACTGGGACAGAATCCAATGGTCCATGAATTCTAACTTTTTTCAGCTCACGACTTTTAGCGCCACCACCAGCCAGTGTCATCCGTGAGTGTTTTACCTCACACCTGGCCTGGTGGACCTCACTGGTTACGGTTTCTCACTAGAACTTCAGGCAGCCTCTCTCCATAGCCAGTCACTAGTTAGCATTAGATGAATTTTCAAGCGATAGTTTGTAGGTGGCGCTGAAATTCGCGAATTGATAGAAGTTAGGACTGATGGGCCATTGAATTTCGTCTCAATGGTTGGATGGTCTACGAGGTCGCCTTGTGCCCTGAGGGGTCTTGGGTCCGATCCCCATCAGTGATGTATGCCTACTGCCGAAGAGTACAACACTAGAACGAAACATCTGCCCAGTACTCCCTGTTGGTTTTCGTTGGTTTTCTGAATTATATCAATCCGTGATCAAATTTGAAAGTCTAATTCATGACATTAGTTGCTGAGTAGTCAGTAGACATTTCGCCTGTGCAATATGCCCTATCACTATAATGCATACTGCATATATTCAAGTAGGAACACATCTCAAGTACACTTCAAGTGGTGAATTTGTATCTAATAGCAGCAAACGTTGTAGTCAATTTCATCTTCGTAGAATACCAGACTTTTTCAAGTAGTGCTACTACTGATATCTGAAGCGTGTATGTCTGGTGTTTCATAGGATGTCTGAGTCGATAAATGTAGATACGTTTGTTTTTCTAATGATAACAGCTTTATTCTGGACAAAATGTTCATACAGTGTACAGAATTCTAAGCGGAATTTATTACATAATATTTTATCTTGATGCAGGATTTTCAGATAACATAATAATCGATACTATATCATGTGACAATGCTGTTCTATCTGAGGCGTAGACTAATCCCTTATGATATTTCTCCGTCGTCTTGGAGAGATGCGCACTGATAGTTTGAAAGCCAATTAAAAGTGTGATGGAGTACATCTTGCGACTCAAGGACATAATTGGATGGTTAAAACAATGAGAATTAGAGAAAATATGATGCACTATATGGGATGGAAATCGAGGTAGCCCAGTGATTCAAGTAGACTGCCTATCTTTTATTACTCAGTTACCGGGAAATTTTTTAAACTTTTTCTCATTACATCTGCAGAACAGATCCTCCTCCTTGAGTATGATTATAAAACTTTACAAAAGCAGGACGTGGACAAAAATGTCAGTTTTACTTCTGTTTGATAATTTAATTGAGAACAGCTATGCTGGTCCTATTTTTTTTTGATTACAGCTTGATTCCACACCGTATTTTTTGGTACAGGTATGGAATTTTCAGCATGTGATATCGGTAGCCTAAATTTTGCAAGCCGACCATAGATATCAGGTGTGCGTCGGCAGGGTATCGAACCCCGGACCATGTGCATGATCGGTGAGAGTCCTAACCGCTGTGCCACCGACGCATTCTGTGAGTAAAGTGAGTGCGTCAGTGGTTCAGTGGTAGAAAGCCCACCAAACCCGCCTCACGTGGTTCAGGGTTCGATCCTCGGCCGACGCGTTCCTAGACGTCGCTACGCCCGGTAGTAAGACCGTTAAAAAGGAAAGCTTGGGCGTGAGGCTAGCAACCCCACCCCGTAAAAATGAAACCACTGCTACCGAAACTTCAAAGCTCTATGTCCCACTGGGAACGTAAAGGAATAAGGTAAAGTAAGTAAGGTGAAACTATGATCTGACTTGCGTAGAAAGGATATTGGATTATTAATACCTTACGTCCGTCTTCCAAGTGTGAAATCTTAAAAAAATGTTTTCCTCTGTGAGTATTCATGATTAAGGTTGTGCACTATGTTATCTGTATAGTTTATTCTCTTTAACCCATGTTTAAAAATGGTTCTCTTTTAGATACACTAATCAAATGTTGTGATCTCTCTCAATTATGGTATCGTGAATTCTTCTTAGAAATGACTAATGGTGCTTGTATACAATTTCCTATTGAAATGAGTTTACCATGGATATTTACAGATCATATCCTAGAGACTGAGCATCCTGGTTACATGGAGTATCTTCTCTACATGCTTGATCTTTACAATGATGCTGCTGATTGTGCATTGAATCGATTTCGACGTCGATTTCTTTATGAAGAGATAGAGGCTGAAGCAAATCTAGTCTTTGATCAATTAGTCTATAAGTTAAGCGATAAAATATTTAGACATTATAAACGTTATGCAGCTTCAATTTTACTGGATAAACGTTTCAGAGCTGAAGCACAACGTACTGCTTCATGGCGTGAACCATATCCACCACCGAATCGTTATACTGCAGCTTTACTTCATCAGAAAAATATTCAATTACTTGGACGTTCTATAGATCTTAATCGATTAATATGTCAACGAATGAATACAGCATTATATAAGTCACTTGAAGTTGCTATTTCACGTTTTCATGGTTCAGATATTACAGGAATAATTGTAAGTTTATAGCTTACATATGTTATTATCATTATTATTACTGTTATTATTTTGTTACTGCTGTTAATGATTGATTTGCACACTATAGCTTTGATTAATCTTGTTTTCATTAGACTCTAAAATGATAGAGAAGATTTGCAGCTCAGGTAAAGGATTTTGGTTTAGTTGTGTTCTCTGAGCTGGTTGATCTAACTGCGAAGCTTTCATTCTTTCTAGACATCTTCAGGACAAGCTTTAATATAAAGTGATGACCGGGAATAATGTCCCTGCAGGTTATACCACGCCAGAAAGGTTGTTCGGATAGCGATTCGACTAAAAGTGGTTACCGTCATAATGTAAATTGTTTACAGTATGTTGGAGTCTGTGGGCTAAGTCGTACTACAGTTGAATAGGATGTGAAAGCAGTAAATTGTTTCCCTCAGATGATTACCAAGCCATCTATGCTGCTTCTCCGCCCTGGAGAGTGGGTATAAGAAAGGTTCACCCCGAAAACTATACATCGCGACTTACTTTGCAGCGGTCTGTAACTGGCAGTAAGATCTTAATACGGACACAAGCTCAAAGGACACTTCAAACAGGACGTGTGTGACAGGCCTCAAGTTATTGTCCACGGGGTTAGGCTGTCAGGTAACACTAATACTTCTCTATGGGGTACTCTTAGAACAAATCAACTTCTCTGATGTGGGCAACTGGGAAGTAATAACTGCTCACACACTTTCATAAGTTCACAAGGCTTTTCTGATCGTCACTCATCTTTATCCTGATTTGGCTATTAAAATGATGCTTATTTTACCTTTGTCATGAATGTGCATTTAAGTTGACACTTGGAGGAAATTCCAAAGTTTTGAGTATGAAATATCAAGCTTACAGTATAGCAAAACTGTTGTCATTCACTAGTCTTTGTCTTATTGAAATGTAGTAGAGTCAGTGAAACTACATCGTCTGAGATGGCTAAGGCACGCCGTGCTCTTTGAGCAATGTTAGCTAACATGGTGTTGGGTTGGAAAATAGTTAGGGGTGGTCAAATCAAAACCTAACATCAGTTGGTGAAGTCTTTGACTGTTTGTATGGGCTAGCTATGTAGGGTGGTTTAAACTGCCCGGCTGGGCTCCTCAGTATGTTAACATCCAATGGCATGAGACTATTAGTGATATAACTGAAAATCATTGTCAGTGGCTGAGATGTATTCACGCTTTGTGACCTCCCTTATCCATTTAACTCTCGTGTTTTTTTCATGTGACTGTGTAACAACAGAAGACAAGTGTCAGGCAACAGATCATCTATATGTTAACTGTATCCGCCTACGCAAAGTCTGCTGTGGTCGGTTTTGAATCAGTCTTTGTTCATATTTTCTCACGATAAATCTTGAGAACGTAACTTGACGTAAATTACTGTCTACCAATTTGGCTAGTAGACAGCTCTCACCACACTGTACTTCCTCCTACACGTTTCTCCTCATTATAGTTTTTTTTCTGAATTTCGTTTTCCTTTGTTTCCTTTACCTTTGTGTACTATATGGAGCGTGTGGCAACTTGTACTGATGCAGTTTTGTGCAAAGTTCTATGTTGAAACTTAGTCAGTCAGTCAGCTAGTTAGTAGAATCAATGTGTATATTTATGTGTATTTGATTTGTTTTTAGTAAAATAATTGACACATTCATAAAATGTTCACGTGAATGCATACTACCACTGAATTAGTAGTTCTTGATATCATGTGTACGTTTAAATAATTAGATAATTATAATGAATTGCTTATATTTGTTATATTTTGTCCAGTAAAGTATCATACAGATAGGGGAACTGATATGCATTGAAATAAATCCATAATTCAAAGTATTATACTTATCATGTATAGGTGATAGGTGTGAATGTATTTTTTGTCTTATGATACACAATTTGTTTCACTGGCATAGTGTTTTGACTGACTGACTGACTGGTAGCCTAATCGAGCGTGTTCATGGTTTGTTCATTTCACAATTAAGTGTCAACATGATATTGTTTTTACTGACGTTTCGCTATTTAATGCTGCTAATAGCTTTATCAAAGTATTATTAAACCGGAATTTACAAAATCTCAGCATATATATATAACAAAGAGTTAAGAGGTGAGAAAATAGACTTAGGTCAAGTTAGTAAACTTTATTTTGATATCATAACAGACGTACTATTACCTTTGTTATATGGTTTAGTGATCTTCATTGTTATTTTGACTTTCAATATGTCCCTTTAACTTGACCTAAGTCTATTTTCTCACCTCTTAACTCTTTATATATATATTATATATATATATATATATATCATGGAAAATTCCCATTGTAACATATAGAAAATCAAAACAAATGATTCAGCGAAGAGACTCTTTTCAACGAATTTATCATCAAGCTGTACAATCGTATATATATGGTTTTTAAGAAGTTATATCCGGTGAGGGAATTGAAACATAGGTGTGAATGCATGAAATAATAATAATATGAAGTGCAATTAAAACTAAATCAATTCCTTAATGCAACATTAAATTCTATGCTATTAAATTTCACACAATATTACGTAACGTTTTTATTTTTTCGATTTGTCTACTAATCTTATAATTGCACACCTTTTTCAAGTTCTATCCATCCTATGAATTATTCTATATATGACATTAATTTGCTTTGCCACTTTACATTTAACTACGATTATAATCACAAACATTTTAGTTTTAATTGCACTTCATATTATTATTATTTCATGCATTCACACCTATGTTTCAATTCCCTCACCGGATATAACTTCTTAAAAAACCATATATATACGATTGTACAGCTTGATGATAAATTCGTGAAAATTATATATATGCTGAGATTTTGTAAATTCCGGTTTAATAATACTTTGATAACGCTATTAGCATTAAATAGCGAAACGTCAGTAAAAACAATATCGTTTTGTTTTTCATTCATTGGGAAATACAAGAAAACCTTTATTATTATAATGAATATCATACACCCAATGCCCAAATTTTTTCAAACTGTTAAAAGTGAACTTGGTTTGGACATATATAAGTGTCAACACATATTTATAAAATCAATCCAGACTAATGTACAGAGACAGAGAATTATATTGTATTCAGTTTTAGAATATATGAAATTATAATAGTACATTTCAAGATTAGTCACGAACTGACTTCAGTTAGCGAAACACTGGAAACCAGCGGGAATACTGGACAACCGTCTCGTCCTTGCTTGGGACTCTTCATCAGTACGCACCCATGACCACACCAGGGATTGAACCCAGGACTTTCAGGTTATGAGACGAGTTCGTTGACCATTCAGCCACTGGGACGGAATTGGATGGCCTGGCAATTCTGACTTCTGCCGATTCGCGATACAAAGCGCTACTGCCAGCCAGTGTCATCGGCGAGTATTTGTCCTCACACCAAATTTGGTGGATGCCGCTAGTCACATTTTCTCGCTAAAACTTCAGGTATATTCATCCTGTAATCAGTGACTAGTGAGCATTCGATTAATTTTCAAATGTTTGTTCGTTTGATTTCAAGTGAGATCACTAACAAAAATAATTCTAATGCCTAATAGTGACTGACTACAGGACAAAGTTGCCTGAAGTTCTAGTGCGAAGTCGTGATCAGTAGGTTCACCAAACAACTGGTTGTGAGAACAGCTCCTCGCCAATGACATTGGCTGGCGATCGCGCCATATATCGTGAATTAGCAGAAGCTAGAATAGACAGGCCATCGGATACCGTCTCAGTGGCTGAATAATCAACGGGTTCGCTTCGTAACCGGAAGGTCTTGGGCTCGATCTCTGGTGGTCATGGGTTCGTACTGCTGAAGGGTCTCAATGGCAGATGAAACAGCTGTCTAGCCTTTTCGAGCTTTCATTTGTTTCCTTAACTGAAGTCAATTCGTGACTAGTCTTTAAATCGATTAAATCTCTGCAAATAATCACTTCAAAATATGAAAGTACAGTTTCATATGAATGTATACATTGACAAGCAGCATTTTCTTCTCTTTATTCTTAGGAATTAGAAGCAGCTATTGAATGTAATCGCCTTTGCCATAGAATGCTTAGTGAACATTTGGATTTGGATGATTTCGACGCTTTACTTCGTGAAGCAGATAATTTAGTAACTTCGAGATTAGGAAAAATTACTGTTCATGTATTTTGGGAGCTGACATATGATCTAGTTAAAAATTATTGTTATAATGATGCTACCAACAGGTGAGAAATTTTCAATCCTAATTATTTCATTTAACAGTCATATTTTTACATATATGTATATATTTTAATAAATAGACAGATGTTTTAATGTCAATCTAGGCGTCACTGTCAACACACTTTCCTACTGCAAGTCAAACATTCAAAAAAATTGTCGATAAAGAGTATTATTATTGAATGCTGGCAATGTTGCTGTTGCTTAAGACCGATGAATATGTATTTTCAAGTATTGGTTTTGTAGGAATTTTGTTTGATTGCATGGAGGATTTCATTATGAGCTGACATCAGTTAGAGAACCACTAGAATCCCGGTGGGTGCGTACTGTGAAGAGTCCCAAACTAGGACGAAACAGCTGTCCAGTACTCCCAGGTTTTCTAGTGGTTCTGTAACTGATGTCAGCTCATGATGAAATCCTCCATGCAATCGAATATGTATTTCTCTATTGAACATATTTTATTTATTATAACCTTATTACAAAATAGTCAGATGAACCACTTGCATTGCCTTGATATCCTATAACTTAATGCATCCGAACGCATCCGAAAGGACGTATGTGTACTGCGCAGCAGTTGGCTCTTTCTTTTTCTGAGACTTAGCCATGTAAGTATGTGAGAAGGTTAGTTGACATTGTTCACAGGTGTTCGCGTTCTATTTCCCTCACTAAGTAGTATAGTATGGTAAGATTGCCGTTAGGCTTATTTTGTCATATAAGGAAGGGAAATCAATCGATGAGGTTATGAAATTGCATCGAATGAGTTGGCTAGGACCTGTGTTGCACATGCCGAGCTACCGCCTTTCTCGATGAGTAGTGTTAGCTGATATAGGATTGGGTTATAGAAGAGTTAGGTGTGGTCACATCAAGACCTAGCATCAGTCTGTGAAGTCTTTGACAGTTGGTTTGAGTCACACAGAGAGACGTAGACTGCCTAGTTAGGGTCCTCGAGATGTTAAGAGCTAACGACTGGAGACTGTTAGTAAATTGGCATAAAATCGTTCGCACTAGCGCAGATGCATTCACTCCTTGTAGTCTCCCAGATCAATTAAATCTTAGTTCCATGTTTCTGTTCTTTTCTTCATTCATTTCTGCTCATTAAAGTTGTTTTGAATTTCTTTTCTCTACCTCAGTGTGCTATATGGAGTGTGTCGACTTGAACTGCTACACTTCTGTGCAATGTTCTATATTGAAACTTAGTCTATAACATATATACCAAAGATGACACCACTGGGAATATTTTTCTCATGATATTACGTGATTTCACTTCATAACTGGAATTAAGTATCCAACATATCATGTTGTTACGACTTTGTATATACCTGAAGTATCTGCTTATTGTGTACCTGTTGGGATTGCAACGCGTATGAACTACTTATAAAGCGAGTCTGTTCAATCCTCACTCTTATGACAACCTAAAAACTTACTCATATGAGTAACAAAACCAAAGGCTCTTTGGCCGATTATATGGCATATTCCTTTTTTGAAGTGGCGCCACCTTTATCCGTTGGGTATTAGGGCGTTTCAACAAATAAGCCGAAATACACCAGCATGATTTCATGGAAATTTAGTAATATCCACGTTTATCTTTTGAACTCACTGCTTCTTTTTTTATCTATTACATTGCATAGATGTCAGTATCAAGCAACATTTTCTGATAAAAGTGCAGCAGATGTAACGCAGTTCGAGAGTATAATACCACCGATAATGTGTACATCAGAAAAAAACACATTTTTAACGCATAATTTCATTTAAAAGGCTTACAAAAAATATAACTTGTCATTAAACTACCATAGTAACAGACTATGACGCTACAATTAGCGAGGATATACAATAAAGCCACTCAGGCTCTTTTCATCCAACAAAATGTTTACATTCTTCCTTTGTCTAAATATATTTATAGTTGGATGACTCATCACTCAATGATAAAACAGATAAGAATAATTCTCGACAAGGGAAAACGTGATTTGTACCTTTCAGGACGGCGATTCAAAAGCCTTTCAATTTCTACTATTATTCAGGCTTTTATCTCCCTTTCAGTAATCAGTCACATCGTTGAAAATGTCAAATGACTATTCCCGAGTTGTATGTTTGTTAAGCCCAGTTGTCAAAATTCTTTCTTCCCTCCCCCTCTTTATATCCTTTCTAAATGGTGAGTGGTAGTAAATGTGGCTCACTGACTTGAATAATTTACTGTCAGTTAACTATTTCTGGATTCTAATTATGCTCTGCTTAATGTTGCCTGTCAGCTAAAGTAGCATTTAAAGCTCTCTTTCACACGCATAAACCCATAACGTGTGAGTCATACCTTGATACAAGGTGTCTCTACTGTTAAATAGTTTATTGACTGGAATAATAAATTTGATATTCCGTAGGAGCGAATACATATTTTTCCAATTCATTTATTTTACTCAATTCCCGTGAGTATGGTAATCTACTAAATGCGAATATAATTTATGCTGCTCTGGGAGAAATTTATTTCATTTTCCCTCGTATATAAGTTATTACCCAATGTGTGTTGTGGGATGTGTTTGATACTGGGATATAAGTGTACATCAGAAGACAAGGACCTGGCAACATATCGTTTATCGAAGAAATCAACAGATATTTATATTTTTATGTACATTATTATTCGGTCGGTCGGTCGGTTTTCGACATAGAACTTTGCACATATGTGTGGCAGTTCAAGTCGCCACAATCTATGTAGCACGCAAAGCAAGAGAAGGAAGTAGAAGAAATGCATAATATAGACAGTAAACAGAGGTGTGAGACAAAGGAATAGTAATAACGGAGAACAAAACAGTTTCATTGGAAATCATAAGTCACAAGGAGTGGATGCATCTGCGCCACTGAGAACGATTTTGAGCCATATCACCAATTGTTTCCAACCATTGGTTTTTACCATCCCGAGGACCCCAACCAGGAAGTCTACATCTTCCTACGTGGCTTAGACTAACTGTTGTGGATTTCATTGACTGGTGCCATGTTTTGGTTTGACCGCCGCTAGCTCTTTTCCAGCCTGACCTTATATCAGCTAACATTGCCCGTGGTCGAGGAAGGCGATGACTAGGCATACGTAACACATGTCCTAACCATCTCAGTCGATGTAATTTCACAGTTTCGTCGACTGATTTCCCCGCCTTACCTAGCACTCGACGCCTAACCTCAATATTGCTCACCCTATTATACCACTTCACACGGGAGATAGAACGCAGACACCTATGATCAAAGACAGCTAATCTTCTCATGTCTTCTGCTCTCAATGGCCAGGTCTCACAGCCATAAAGGAGGACGGAGCGGACTGTCGAGCAGTACACACGCCCTTTGGTCGATAGTCGGATATCGCGTCTACGCCAGAGATGGCGAAAACTGGCGAATGCGAACCTAGCCCTCTGTATTCGTGCTGATATTTCGTCTGAGATCAACCCGTTGGGGCTGATGGTACTTCCCAAGTAATTGAAGCGGTCAACGTGTTCTACCACTTCACTTCCTATTTCTAATCTAGGGGTCGATGAAGTCCAATCCTGCAGCATCATCTTACATTTTACAGGGGCGAATCGCATGCCAAACATACAGAGATTGTTGCTCAGGGTGTTCAGTAGACTCTGCATTTTGTCGGAGTCCTCGCCTAGAAGGACTATATCGTCCGCATATTCTAAGTCAACGAGATTATTCCCTGGTAGCAAGTCAATCCCTGAGTCGCTGAAGTGTGATAGGGTTAAGTCCATTAGTACGTCTATGATGAAATTGAATGGGAATGGGGATAATGGGTATCCTTGATGGACGCCACTAGTCGTCACCACTTCAGATGACAACTCGCCATAAGCCCTCACCTGGCTGGATGAGTACGAGTAGAGTGCCTTAATCAGTGCAATGTATTTTCTTGGCATTCCCTTTACAGCCAAGCATCGCCAGAGAACCTCCCGGTCGACAGAATCGAATGCCGCCTTTAGGTCAAGAAATATAATGATTGTCGGACGGCGGTAGGAATGCCTATGTTCTAGAATCTGTCGAAGGGTGAAGATATGATCAATACACCCTCTACCTGGCCTAAAACCTGCCTGGTTTTCTCGTGTTTGTGTCTCCCGAGAACCACTTAATCTACGCAGTATTATTGAGCCTAGGATTTTAGATACTATATTAGTCAAGCTAATGCCTCTGTGATTATCACAAGACGACTTGTCTCCCTTCTTGTATATCGGGATGATCAGTGACTTACACCAACCCGATGGGACTTCCTCTGATTCCCAGACGCTACCTAGAATTTCAGTTAACGCAGACAGTAAACTGTCTCCTCCGTACTTAAATACCTCTGGAGTCAATAAATCAGGTCCCGCTGCTTTGACTAGCTTCAGATTGGTGACAGCTTTAGTAACCTCAGTTAAGGACGGAGGACCTGTGTCTATCTCCCATTCAGGGAGGTGTTGGATGTCCGGCAGGTTAAGTGTGGCTATGGGCCAATTAAACTGCTTCTCATAGTGTTCTTTCCAGCGCTCCAGACGTCTATCCTGGGAGCTAATTATGGTGCCATTTTTCTCGGAGATTGTTTCGCTTATCATTTGCCTTTTACCACCTGTTTCCCCGATAAGCCTGAATAGTTGTCTGGTGTTGCCTATCGCCGATGCTTTTTCCATCTCTTTCGCCTTTGTCAACCACCACTGTTCACGGTCCTTGCGGAGACTTTTCGTAAGTTTCCTTTTGTGCAGCTTTCGCTCCTCATTGAATTCGGAGCTCGCCGGAATAAGTCTTCTAGCATCTATCAGTTCGGATGAGGCAGTCGAAATCCAATGGTTTTTACTCACCTTTGGATTTACCTTATTCACAGCTTTTACAGCTGTATCTATGGCTGACTGAATATTCTTCCAGGCTTCTTCAGGGTGAGCGCAGCTGTCGAACTCAGATATGTGTTTAGCTAGTTCTTCCTCAAATAGGGACTTAGTTTGCTGATCGAGCTGGGGACGTGATGGTTTTACCGCCAGCTGTTTCCTACGTCCGTTCAGTCGTAAGCACACACGAGCGCGGACCAGTGCGTGATCGGTATCTACACACGTGTTCCAGAAGGAGCGACAATCTCCTACCGACCCATGCCAACGATAGCTTATTGCTATGTGGTCTATTTGTGTCCAGCGTTGATTTGATGATGGGGGTCGCCAGGTCAAACAGTGTCTCTCCTTGTGTTTGAAGTTGGTGCTTACAAGAAACAAATGATTATCTGAACAGAACTGTAGGAGACGGTCACCGTTGTCGGTTCGTTATTACATTCGTTATTATATTAGCAGAGAGACACCGTCTTCTGATTGGTCGTTTTCTCACTGGAAGTTAATCTGTCATCTCTTTGTGGCCGTTTCTTTGATGGTCGGACCACATAGCTGCGAATCGCATCCGCCCACGCAAAGTCTGCTGTGATTGTTTGCTGAGTTAGTCTTTGTTCTTGTTTTTTTTCTCATGACCAAGATATGGGACGTAAACATTGACGTAAATTGCTGTCCACCAATTTCGGCAGACAGCAGACAGCTCTCACCACATGAGGAAATGCACTGAATCAGTAAATTAGTCCGTTTGATTTCGTCACAACGCCGTTTATCCTAAAGTTGTTTATTATGCATGATAATTCCAAAGTTACAGGATTGTGTATTTGCAAATCAGTCAGTGAAGTGACTGACTATACTTTAGTTTCTCTGCATGTTTAATATTTACTGTGGTTAGCAGAAAATAAGTGAGATCAAATATTTTGTGTAAACTATTGGAGGATATACAAAAAGGTTCTGTCTTCACTATTTATTTTCTTGTAGAATAAGAACTATGCGGCGTTTTTGTAAGAGAAGTGTTAATTGACTCCTGTTAACTCGTCTAAATTTTAAACCTGTCCAAAATAAAAAGTAGAAAAATTATTTGCTTTGTAGTTTTGCCATAAAGTTGACTAGTCTAACAATACAAGTTTGTGCTCTTTTTTCAACTACCTACCTTATCTCTCTGAGGAGACTGTTGATTTACGTTGTGCGCCACGCCGTAGAGTGGGACCTGAATGAGAAGTGAAGAGTTAGGCGGCCTAGGAGATCGTGTTAGGAGGAGATGAGAACTTATTGGCCATCGTGGAGCCAGCTAAGATGGACTCCAGGATGAAAGAGAGATGTGTTGTTGAAGCCCTATGCTGCACTCAGAACCTAAAGGAATAATAACAGTATGACAACCTTATCTTTTTTAATGTTCTGAATAAGTTATCAGAAATACCAGTGCTTTTCCATTCCGTCCACTGATTCGGTTCAGTCGTCAAATTCAAAGGTAATAAATTAGACTGTGTTAACAAGCATACTATATTTGGGTGTTTTTAGGCTATCCTACCCATTTGTACTCATCGAAATGTATCCGCTCATTATTTTAGCATCTTTGTAACATTCTCAGTCTCTAACTACTTCACGCCTGTTCATTTGAGTGAAAAAAGAATTTCCGTAACTTTTAATTTATACATAGATTTGTGCCTACAAACTTTACGTTAACTGAAGTATTGGAACGTGAAAAACCACCAACAGTTGAAGCTCAATACGTTTGGGGTAGTCGATCGTTGAATACATGCTTTGAAACAATATTTAAATTATATCGGGGTTTTGTTGGTGCACCACATTTTTCAGCTATATGCCGTTTATTGGGTTATCGGGGCTTATATGTTGTTATTGCAGAAGTAATGAAAGTTGCTCAGTCGTTGGTTAGTTTTCACTTTCGTTCATTTCGTTAAATTTTACCCTTTTTCAAGTGTACGTTTCCTTGAATTTGATTGATCATGAACTGACTTCAGTTACAGAACCGTTGAAAACCAGCAGGGAGTACTGGATAGTTGTTTCGTCCTAGTGTGGGACTCTTCGACGGTACTCACCTATTACCGCAGCGGGGATCTAACCCAGGATCTTCAGGTTACATAACGAGTTCGTATACCACTCAGCTACTGGGACGGAATCAAATGGCCCATCAATCCTTGGTAGTCATGAGTGCGCACTGTTGAAGAGTCTTGAACAAGGACGAAACAACTGTCCATTACTTCCTAGTTTTCAATTGTTCTCTAACTGAAGTCAGTTCATGATAAATTTTGAAATCACCTGTTTTTGTTTCCAGTTCCCTATAAGTTGTTCAATGCATTCATAATAAGATCTTATGAAATTGTGTATAATATTAAATATTTAATTTTATAGAATTGCTGGTGTAAACATCTCTTTGAGGTTTCTTTCTTCATATATTTATTTCTCTTGATAAACTTACTTGAACATTTCAATCAGAAGTAAATTTTCGGCTTGGAAGGTGGAGGTATACATTATATTTCTTAAGTTTCCTCATCATTCTTCATACAATTTGATTAAATTGTGATACAGTATGTACGATCAAGGAGTGCGCAACCTGAATTCTAGAAACTTGTGTGTGTGCAGAAATTCGTACAATTGCCTTCTTTTTCTTCAACGCCTTTATGACTCACCATACGTAGTTGTGCAAAAAATCACTATTTCCCCTCGTACCTACCTATATCCTAATTAAAAATTATTCTAACTTTTACTGTCTTGTAATTTTGCTTTTGCTACTTCCATTTGTTCCTATGTTATTAAATCTTATTTGCGTCGATATTCCTTTTGGTAGAATGTGCACCAAACATGTATGTGGTCTCTGTTCTCTGTTTCCGGCCGACACATTTTTAAACCACTTAGCTGGGTGGGTAGCCAGCCTGGTAAAGACGGAAGGTTAAACTATAGAAGCTCCATCTCGTGTACAGCAACGCCATTGCTACTGAAACTTCAGAGCTGAAGCTTGACGCCCTATGTGTTCCACTTGGAGTGCAAAGCGAATGAAAAAAGAGGTTGAATTTTATCATTTGAGCACTCATTTTATATTCTTCTCATTCCTTATATAATGTGAACTGGACATAATGCAGTCACCTTTTTCTGTTTGATTTTTCATAACTTCTCTCTGTATCATTGTTTCAACTGTTTGATTGTTGAAATAATTTTATTGTTTGATTTTCACTTCAGTTTAGGGAAAATAGCCTCATTAACAACAGTCTTCCTGATTTCCAATGATTTTGTTTTTGAGGTATAATCAACTTATTTGTTTTAGGTAAATTTCCACTTCCTGTCGATTGATTATGTTGACCTAGAATAATCGATCTATGTTGATATGCAAACTCCTAACATGGACGCTTCAATAATATCTAAGGATTAACGTAGAGTTATTTTGACTGGGAATTGTGAATGGCACTAAAAACAAATCATTACTTATACCCTCTGCAGAAGAAAGGGCTAGCTAGCTGTCTCACGGCCTAGTGGACAATGCTTTGGCGTTTGAAACGATCGGTGCAATGGGAAAACCATCCATCCTGTCGTTGAGTCCCAAATAGGAATTAACGCTGCTAGTCAGCATCACAAAAACAAAATGTAGTTCTATGTACATTATCACTTTACTACCTTTTAATTTCTATTCTTTCTTTTCTTTTTCACATAGCTTAATCAAACATTACGTGATTATGTGTGTCGGTTAATACGCCTACTGCCACAGTCGTTAACATTACCGTCGGAAAAGATGGAATCTGATGCCGTATTCTCAGCTTTGTATTCACAATTACAGAAAGTCTATGGTTATACTGATTTAAGAACAAATGTATTCCAAAATTTCCGTGAACTTGGAAATATTCTTATTTGTTGTTTACAGTTGGAGAAAAATTTAGTAAGTTTTCCTATGAAATGTACTTGGTGTTAGCTTCTTGTTGTTGTTGTTATGAAGAAACAGAGAAAAGAACGATGAATATTTCATTTATGTATTGGTTCGTCAGTATTTATTGGCGGTCACGTGCTGCGCATGCCTAACCATCGCCTCCCCCGACGGACGGGCATTACTAGCTGATATAGGTGCAGGTTGGAAAAGAGTAAGTGGTGGCCAAACAAAAACATGACATCAATCCATGAAATCCTTGACAGTTAAACTGAGTCAGGTAGGAAGATGCAGACTTCCAGGTTGGGGCCCTCGGGACTCTAAGAATCAATGGCTGGAGACAATAGGTGACATGGCTCAAAATCGTTGTCAGTGGCGCAGATGTATTCAGTCTCTGTAATCTTTCATATTCCTTTCCACCATTACTCATTCTGTTTCACTCTTATACTTGTCAAAACTCTATTGATTCTCTTCACTCATTTTCTTGTCTACCTTTGTGTGCTATTTGGAACGTGGCAACTCGAAATGCTGCACTTCGGTGCCAAGTTCTATGTTGAATCCAGACAGACAGACAGACATTGGCGGATCTGTGAAAAATCCCACTGACCAACTACTTCATTCTGTTATGAAGGTTTTCATAAACTTAATTATATGGGCCTATTACACATCGAACCATAGACGACCATCAGATCTCGCAACGATCATGTGACACAACGGAGTGATACTGGGTTGTGGGTTTGTCTAACCTGACCAAAATGCGCCTCTAGAACACTACAAGATATCCAACTGATCACTTGAAAGTATTATCTCCCACACTGAGATGGACATAAAAGTTAGACACGGAAAAACGACAACCAGAACGAACAACAACTGCAATCTCTATTGGAGGAAGTACATTGTATCTCTTACATTTACAAAACCTCAAAAATTTAAGCCATAAATAAACGAATCAAAACTGTCCAATAAGGTTATCATGTCAGTACATGTGTAAATCATGACTTCACGGCTAACAAAATAGCTTGTCCATCGTAACGCCTTGGTTATCAGCTGTATTTGACTTTGTGTCAAAGTGTTCAGTGCCTATTATCGAACAGAATAACCTCACAATGGTCCTCGTTTTTTGCATAGGTCCCTATGCAGTGACATGTCAAAACTCTACAAGAGTTTATCCTTTGCTGTTGAAGGACTTCAACACTTAGTGTGACTAGCTTGATGGATTTCGGCGTTACTGCAATACTTAAAAACAGAGATTTCCAAGATCATGTCTACGTGATGCTGTAATCTGCATATTTTATAGAAAGGAGTACTGTATAAGTATGTGCTATATCAAACTAAGAAATGCACACTGAATTACACCTAATAAAGTGTCCGATTCTATAGTTTCATATTTGTGAGTATCTGTTTGATCGTAAGCGTTTGTGGGGAGATCCTTTATATTCTCCTCTTTTTTTTATTGTTTAGGAAAACTTTTAGAGTTGATCATCTGTATAAATCATACCGTTTTATGTCTTTTAATGGTAATTCTTTTTCACGTGAAATATTTGTTTTCAACAAAAATCTTTTTCTAATTTTAACATGATACAATATAAATTTTAGTCAATTGAAGATTCGTGCGATCTACGTCATGCTGGTCCTTTTATTGGACAAATGCCCAGGCAGTTCTTCCCTCCACTTCCATCTCATGATGGTATGTTTTATTTATTATTAATTTAATTCACAATGCCGGTATAAGTTCTATCTCATCAAAATTATTATTATTATTGGGGCTTCAGCCGTGCGTCTCCATTGCGTTCGGTTCTCTGCTAGAGTATTCACCTTGTTCCAAGTCTGCCCACATGCTTTCATCTCCTCTTCACATGACCTCCTCCAAGTCACCCTTGCACTGACGACCAACTCACCGCTTCCCTTTCGGGTTCCACTCGAGCAATGGCTTGTCTAGTGATGTCACTTGATGGTTTCCTCAGAGTATGACCAGCCAATCCATCTCCATTTCTTCCTGCCTATTTGTTTCACAATCGGTTCCTGCTGTATTGGTTCGCTCACTGCCAGAGATCTCTGTTGCTGATCTTTTCTGGCCAGTCATCTGATCTTGAGTATTGAGCGAAGACATCTGTTAATGAAGGTCTGTAGTTTGTTTGAGATGCTCTTTATGGCACGCAGTGCAAGTCTCTGGTCCGTATAGTAGCACTGACTGACTTCACATTGGAGTTGAAAATCCGGATCTTATTTTTGATGCTGAGTGCTGTTGAACTCCACACAGACTTGAGAGTAGTGAAAGCTTGTCTTGCTTTTCCGATTCTTGCTTTGATATCCTCGTCAGTTCCGCCTGTAGTTGAAACGATGCTTCCCAGGTCGGTAAGTAAAAGAGGTTGTTTCTTTCAGGTTCCTTCCATTTATGCTGATTGTTGTCTGTTGTTGTTGTTCTTGTCCAGGAATCTTCATCACCTCTGTTTTCTCTATGTTCACCTGAAGTCCTATCTTTAATTATTATTATGCGAACACTAGTCATCAGTTGTCAACAAAACATTAATCACAATAGATAATGAAAGGAAGTTAGATTCGAATCCACTAACATGTCCTTCATCATTCAGGATAAATGCACTACACTTTCGCTGTGTAAATGATGAATTAATTATTATTATTATTCTCTTGGGTTTCGGGTGGAACACAGAGCTTCAACAACGTATCTCCATTTCACTCTGTTCTCCGCAGTCTTCTTTAGCTGGATCCACGATTACCCATAAGCTTTCATTTCTTCTTCTTCTTCACATGATCTCCTCTATGTGACCCTCGAACCTATTCCCAATTCGTTGTTTCCTATTCGGGTTCCACTCGATGACCTGCCTGGTATGTGATATCACTCAACGGTCCCTTCAGCGTGTGTTCAATCCATCTCCATTTTCTTCTGCCTATTTATTGGGCAATAGGTTCTTAGTTGGTTCGTTGCCAGAATTCCTTATTGTCAGTCCTTTCTGACTGACCATCTGACCTTCAGTTTGTAGTGAAGACAGCTATTGATGAAGTCTGCAGCCTTTTTGAAATGCATTTCAAGACGTACCAAATCTCAAAAAAGCGTATAGAAGCAATGACTGATTTGACATTAGTGTTGAAAATCCGAATCTTAATCCGTGTGCTGAGTGTAGTAGATTACCATATTGATTTCAGAGTAGTGGAGGTCTGTCTTGCTTTTCCCACCCTGGCTTTAACATCCTCATCTGTGGAGTTGTCTGTGGTTGAACGATGCTGCATAGCATGCTCAGGGAAGGATATCATCTCCTGTAGGTCTCCTGTTGATAGTGATTGGTGCCTGTTGGTTAGGTATCTTCTTCACCTCTGTCTTTTCTGTGTTCACTTGAAGCCCTGTCACTGCCAGCCTCTTCTGTCAACTTATTGGTTTTCGCCTGTAGATTTTCGAGTTCATATGAAATTAGAAATAAATCGTCAGCGAGAGTCTGTTTCTCAGTCCAATGTATGCTTGTCTTCTCACTCCTCACCGTCTGCCTCATGATCCAGTCAATTACAATCAGGAATATCATTGGTGATAGTAGGCGGAGTTGTCTTACTCCCATCTTCCCTTCAAAGGCTTCGCCTAGTTTCCCGTTGTACGTAGCGTCATCATAATGGATGATACTTAAATTGTCTTGATTTTAGTTTTTTCATTCACTTGGTTGGTTAGGTAGTTGTTAATGAAGCAGTTACCGTCCATCATTCCAGATGTACTGGAAGCAATAACGAAGTGAATTAGTTTTTCACTTTTTTATCCACGTGAAAGTAGATAGATAGTTGAGTGACGCTGGATGTATACCTTCATATCAATTCGTACATGACACCCAAGTATTATAAGGGGCACTCAAAGCTAGAACAGTATATCATTGAAATATTTGGGTAGATTACGTGAACTGTCCCAAAGACTAGAGAATTTTTATAGATTTAAAATCAAAAGAAAAGAAGATTCTATTCAACACCTACTTCTATTTACATACAGTTAGCCATGAGTGTCGGTGGTTCAGTGGTGGAATGCTTGCCAGCCATACAAGTGGCCCGGATTCGATTCTCGACCAATACACTCATAAACCTCGCCTAGTTTACTGGTTAAGCGTTGACTGTCTAAGCCAGTTAGTAAAAGCAGTACACCAGAGACAATTCAACCGTACTGTTAACAATGTACGTAATTTAATATTGATTTCGAATTAATGGAGAAGATTTATAGCTCATGTGGAAGTTTGTGGTGTTGTTGTGCTTTTCATTGCGAAGTCATCATTATCTTTCTGGACAGTATCTTCAGTGCTGACTTTAGTGTGAAGTGGGCTTAGGAAATTCTCCATAAATGAAATATATCCGTCTTTCCTGATGATCTTGACTTGATTTTATTTTGTACCTTACTAGTGGGAAACGAGTTAGGCGCGTTGGAGGGTGATGTGAAAGAGATCGTGTACAGAGGAAATGGAAACTTATGGGCAATCGTGAAGTTACCTAGGGGAGACCGCAGAGAACGTAGTGAAATGAAGACGTGCAGCTGAAGCCCTATATTCCATTCACAACCCAAGGGATCAATAATAAATTAAAAATCAAATTCTGATTACAATCCATCTTCGTCTTTCCCCCCTCCCCCATATTATAGGGCTTCAAACTTTAATCCTTGACGTTTCCTCACCAGTGTTGTTTTTACGGAGTAGGAGTGCTTGTCTCAATCCCGACTTTTCCTCTTTTCTAGGTTTACTATCCACCAGTGAACTAGGCGAGGTTTTAGGAATGCGTCAGTTGGGAATCGAAACCAGACCACGTGCGTGGTTCGGGAGCGTTATACTCTTGAAAGCACTACTAATCCATTGGGGGGGGGGAGGTTCCCCACATCGGTTCGTATCCCATCCTCATCAGGAGTGGCCTAAATGGTTTAGTGAATAATATCATAGTGATTGAATTCTGTAAAACTATTCGGTTTTGATTTATTTATTGAAATGTGTGAATACTATCCAACCTGCATAGGAATAATCAAATTCATATTCAAGTAGTGTCACAAGGGAATGAATGCCTTTCATCTAACTGTCTAAGTTTCCTTTAATTTTATAAACTTATTCTATTTACATGTCGTGTAACTTTCTACAGATAAACATGTAAGTTAATCGGTAATTTGAAGCAGGGAGATAGTTTTCACTCTACAATTCCTTTTCTACTCAACCAATGCGTTAACCAACCATTAGTTAACTACCTACTTACTCACAAATACTTCAAAGTCGAAATGCATGATGCTGTGTACTACTTATTTTTTTGACATCAGTAGTTGGGTACCACCTGTATCAATCCGTACGGTAAAGCACTCCAATGAATAACTGACCACTCGAATACAATTGAGTATATGGAAAAACGACCAAAAATAGGAAGTGGACACTTACTCAGGGTTATGATTTTAATTAATTGATTCAGTCATTCGAATGTATTAATGCTCTGTCTCTTTATAGCTATATCACCTAATTTGTATTAGTTTTTAAGATGATAACGTTGAAATTTTAGTTTGACTGTGAATTTAATGTGTTTAACTGACATATCTGGAAGGCTTTCAACCATAGTGTGGTGAGAGCTGTCTGCTAGCCAAAATTGGTAAACAGCAATTTACGTCAATGTTTACGTCCCAAATCTTGGTGATGAGAAAAACAAGAACAAAGACTTTGTGTGGATGGATGCGATTCGCAGCTATGTGGTCTGACCTTCAAAGAAACGGCCACAAAGGGATGACAGATTAACTTTCAGAGAGAAAGCAACCAATCAGAACGCGCTGTTTCTTTGCTAATAATAATGAATAATAATGTACATAAAAATAGATAAATATCTGTTGATTTCCTTAATAAACGATCTGTTGCCTGGCTCTTGTCTTCTGTCGTTACAATAGTAGTTCAAGCTAGACTTAAGAGTTGAAGTCAAGAGACGCTTTATTCTATGCATTAGTTAATTAGTTCGGTTCCTTTTGTGAAGTTTTAATTTTTGAGGTTTTTTTTCCATACAACAATGATGAACTTTGTTATGAATTTTATTTTGATGTTTCATTCTGTGTATAAATCTTACATTTTCAAGCATGCAGCTGATACATTATTAATACTGCGAATACGCTGTGCACTTAGACTTTGTTTTTTGAATGAGTAATTCAGTTATGTAGGCAGCATGGTTTTAACTACAGGTAACTCCACAGATAAAGTTGGCAAAGCCAGCCAGGATGGGAAAGGCAAGGTGGGCTTTCATTACTCTGAAATCAGTGTGGTTATCTGCTGCTTTCAGTAATAAAGGACATGATCTGCATCTTCAACACTAATGTAAAAGCAGTGCTTCTATACTATTGGTACGTCGTGAAAAGCATTTCAGATAGGCTGCAGACTTTATCAATAGCTGCCGTAGCTCAATACTGAAGATTAGATGGCCAGAAAGGGTAAGCAACAAAGAACTCTGGCAACGAACAGGCAAGGAATCGACTGCCCAACACATACGCAAAAGAAAATGAAGATGGATTGAATACATGCTGAATAGACCGTTGAGTGACACTACGTGCCAAGTCCTATAGGGGAACTGAATTAGGAAACGGCGATTTGAGAGGGGATTCGAGATTTAAGTGGAGGTGATTATGTGAGGAGGAGGAAGAGGAGGTGAATACTTGTGGGTGATAGTGGAGCTAGGTAAAAAAGGCTGCAAAGTACTGGGTGTAATGGAGATGTGCTGTTGAAGCTGTATGTTCCACGTGGAACTCATGGGAATCATAATAATTCGTAAATAAGAGTATGACTGAGTGGTTTGGTCATTTGATTTTCAACAGATGTATTACTGACCCAAACTCTGCCTTACCTACATCAGTTCAAGCAACGAAGATGTTTTATAATCGCTCAGATATATATCAAGTAGCTGAATGACACATTATAATTATTATCGCTAGTTTGCTTTCTCCTTAGTTCTTAATCCAACAATTAACGCTTTTTTGTTTGGCTTACTTTAGAAGGAGCAAAAGGTAAACCGATCAATGAACTGAGACGTGAACGCGAAATTCAATATAAGGAATTACAAAAGAAACAAGAATCAATGAATATTGTTCTAGTTGTATCACGTATCGGTACTGAAGATGTAAGTGTATTCATAGGTCTGTCTGTCTGTCTGTGTGTATGTGTGCGTGCATGCTTGTGTGTTTTTGTAAATTAATCCGATTGTCGTTGTAAAATTATATTCTTTATCTTGTCATTTGCTATTAATTTTTGAGAAAAAAAAGATTATTTGACTAAATTATAACGGAAAAGTCATAAAATGACAGCGTTTAAGAAATAGATCATGCATCCTATCAGTGCAGTGAAACAGTGTGAAAATGTGGTTCTTTAATCTAAACACTCAACTGTCAACCAATGGGTTTTGAGTTCGAATCCCACTCCCCCTGGGCAACAGGGGACATTATCATCAGCCTTAACGTATTATTCGATGTGGCTTATGGCTTGAATAACCTGTTTCTGGAATTGTATTCAAACAAGAGTCAAAATAATAATCGTAAGTAGCTTTATTTAGAACAACACATTTAAGCGAACAATATTGTGCTTTCAATTAGATCTCATCAGGCTTAGCTCTAATACACATAACTTTACAAATAAAAATTCAAATATAAACCAATCATGGTGTTTTGTCTATTGGATAATAAGATGGTGAATATAAATTGTGCAATTAGTCATAATAATAGTAATCATAATGATAATAATAATAATGATAATAACAATCCGTAGCTCCATTTCGTCCCATTTAGTTGATGATAGTCATGTATTTGCGTCGGTGGCACAGTGGTTTGGACTCTCGCCGACCATGCTTATGGTACGGGGTTCGATCCCCTGCCGACGCACACCCGATATCTATAGTTGGCCTGTAAATTGGGCTACCGATATCCATGCTGAAAATTCCATACTTGTACTGAAAAATACGGTGTGGAATCAAGCTGTAAACAAAATTAAAAAAAAATTAAATTAAATGTAGTGGATAAAACGAGAGCTTTCAAGGTAATTCATCGTATCCCACCGAATCTTTCTAACAGACTTTGTATACGTCTACTGCACACAGCTGAGGCGATAGGCATTCGAACTATTAAACCTAAACTATGTATTCAAAAAAAGTTCGTACAGCTATTATCATTCCCTTGACTTATTAAGACCTAACCAACTGATGAATTCTCCACCGCTGTCTACTTATATTTTACACCCCTCTCTTATCATTCCTTAGTCTTATCACATCTTGATTAAAACGTATTTTATTTACTTCCCATACAATCTGGCATAACTTAATCGGTTCATTTGTTTTTCTTAGCCTTTATCGACTGCTTCTACCTGAACATTTGTTTGTTTAATTATGGTGCTTTTCATTATTTTTCTTATTACAAATCACCTCGCTTTTTCACCCTTGTTATTGATAAAACCATTATTATTATTATGATTACTATTATTATGACTAATTGCACAATTTATATTCACCATCTTATTATCCTATAGACAAAACACCCTGGATTGGTGTATATTTGAATTTTTATTTGTAAACTTATGTATATTAGAGTTAAGCCTGATGAGATCTAATTGAAAGCACAATATTGTTTGCTTAAATGTGTTGCCCTAAATTTTACTATAGGAATATTTAATAGCTTTATTGTAAGAAAAAAATGAATTCGTACGTAGTATAGAGAATACTCAACATGATATACTGAAAGGTGTTTACTCCATGTGCAGAATCTTCAAGTAAATTTTAATAATCAGTAACTTGTCATTTAAAATGATATTGTGTGTCCCATTGAAAGTACACTCTTCTAATATAATAACCTACAATGTTATTCCTCCATTTCCCCATTGGTAAAAATGCATACTAGCAGTTTAAAGCCTATTTGAAAATGAGCTGTGTATGAATTTTATTTCAATAACTTGAATATTCCCATAATTTATTCAGAACAAAACAGTTAAAGCCAACAGTTGTTTTAAATAAATTATTCTTCAGGCTCTACAATTATAAATGCATTAATTCAAGCATGCAAATTAGAATCATATCAGAAATACATTGTGGAACAAGTATAAGATGCGATGGAACAATGGTCAGTTAGTTCTGAATATTCATGGTCACTGAGAACATGAGATGAAACAATTTGAAGATATATATATATATATTTAGCGCGACCACCAGCCAATATCGTCGGTGGGAAATCCATCTTCACATTTGGCGAAATCACGAATTGGTAGAAGTGAGAATTCATGTTCTGATCATTGAATCGGGTCCCAGTGGTTGAATAGTATACGAGTTTGCCTTGTAACCGGAAGGTGCTGGGTTCGAACCCTGGCAGAGGGTGCGTACTACCGATGATTCCCAAACTAGGATGAAACAGCTGTCCAGTACTCCAGTGCTGTTAATGGTTCTTTAACTGATATCAATCCGTTGTCAAACTCGTAAAAACAACGAATGAAGTGGAGTAGACATAAATTCAAGGGTGAAAATAAGGACAATAATAGTGATTGTGAAATAATAACGATAATGTAGTGTAAACTTAAAAGTACTACAGGTGAATGATCATCAAATCAGTCGGTCGGTCGGTTTTCAACGTAGAACTTTGCACATATGTGCGGCAGTTCAAGTCGCCACACTCCCTCGTTGTAGCACACAAAGCAAGAGAAGAAAGTAGGAGAAATGCATAATATAGACAGTAAACAGAGGTGTGAGACAAAGGCATAGTAATAACGAAGAACAAAACAGTTTAATTGGAAATCATAAGTCACAAGGAGTGGATGCATCTGCGCCATTGAGAACGATTTTGAGCCATGTCACCAATTGTTTCCAACCATTGGTTTTTACTGTCCCGATGACCCCAACCAGGAAGTCGTTTGACCGCCGCTAGCTCTTTTCCAGCCTGACCCTATATCAGCTAACATTGCCCGTCGAGGAAGGCGATGACTAGGCATACGTAACACATGTCCTAACCATCTCAATCGGTGTAACTTCACAGCCTCGTCAATTGATTTCCCCTCCTTACCTAGCACTCGACCATCGCCTAACCTCAATATTGCTCACCTTATTATACCACTTCACACGGGAGATAGAACGCAGACACCTATGATCGAAGACAGCTAATCTTTTCATGTCTTCCCCTCTCAATGGCCAGGTCTCACAGCCATAAAGGAGGATCATCAAATAATAATAATAATAATAATGAATCGAGTAAATTGAAATGAATAGGATTTTGTTACAAAAGCATTACTTAAATAGAAGTCATAAGAAAGGTCATGAAATCGTAAAAGGTCAGAAATGAACGTTTATCAATGAAATAAAGGAAAAGAAGAAAAGAAAGAAAAAAAAGGATTGTGATAGGAATTTAAAGTGTTAATGTTTATGGAGGATTTGTTGAGCTTGTTGTGTAGGCCAAGGCTAAACATAGCGGTTGAACATACTTCTGTATATTTATAAAGAGCTGGTCTTCTGGTATTGATTGCTACCGCTTCAGCTACTACTGATAGAAGACGTAGTCGAGAGCTCTTCTAGATAGATTATCAGGAACGCGGTAAATAACTGAGAACACTTGGTCGGTCAGGTTTTATTGTATCCTATAGTATGCTTGTGCGTCGGTGGTATAGCGGTTAGGACGCTCGCCGACCATTCACATGGTCCGGGCTTCGATCCCCGGCCACAGACACACTCCTTTACCTCGCTAAGCCAGAAATAATGCTGGTGAAGAGGTGCTTGAGGCTAGCAACCCCATCCTCTAAAATAAACACTGCTACAGAAACTTCAAGCCACTAGCTTGAAGCCCTATGTTCCACTGGAGAACGTGAAGGAAAAAAAATAGTATGCTTAAATTAATGGATTTATAATTGCAGAGCCTGAGGAAGAATTTATTGTGAAAACAATTATTCGCTCTAACTATTTTGTTCTGAATTTTGTTTTACATGTTTCAATAGCAATAAGAGAAAGAGAAATAACATGATAAAAGATTACCATTCTACCTCAACCATATTTTACGCTGGCTAGTTGTGTGTTCCAGACATTATCTGTCAAATGCAATGCATTTATTGGTGGTGGATATGCTTTCCCTCCTAATGGTTTCGATTTAACTGTCACGGATGTGATTGTATTAGTTAATCATATTCTATAACTGTTACAATGATTTCCTCTTATCCCTTATTTTTTTTAAAAAAAGAAACAGCTTTTATATTGGTTAATTGTTTTGCTTGCTTGTCTATTGCATCGCCATAGTGTATTTGATTTCAACTGACTACTACTGCTATTATTTTGTCATTTTTTGTTGTTGTATGTATGCGTACAGCAATTAGCGTTGGCCAAAGAAAATGAAATATTGACTAAGGAACGATTATGCTCTGGACTGACATTGTTTGAATTCGTAAGTGTTCACTTTCTGTGTTAATCGATTCTTTTTTCTTTTGCATTTCATTTTTACCTTGTTTATTATACTTTATTCTGTCTGAAAAAGCATTTTTAAAGCTTTTACACATATTACACTGGTTAATCAATCAAGCTGTTTGGATTTGTATGTAAACTTCCGTGTTGTTTCATCGGTCAGTAGTAGCCAGTTGTGTTGTTTCTGTGACAGTTTGCCTTTGAGATGACTGCTCAAATAAACCCAGAGAGTTTTTTTTATTGTCATAACACAAAAATACGAAATTGTGTTTAAATAGTATTTTATTTAAAGCGCGAAGAACAAACTTGAAAAGGATAAAGTGACGTCATTATATTTCATTGGTTCTTCTCAAGTACGCGTAACCGCAAACAATTTGACATCAATATACAAAATATTTAAACCTAACTGATAGAATTCTGTCTGCATCAAATCAAGGACTAGACGTATGATACTGGATTCTACCTAATGATCAATCCAGTTATCTTTTACAGTCCTAAAGAAGGTCAACCGAGTGTAAACTTCTCTGACTGTAGCACTGGGTAACGCGGGTTTGAATCTCAAGTTCCTTCAAAATCGCAGATACGCCTTGCTGTTGGCACTGTCAGCAAGCATAAAACCTATGTCCGGAACTTCCTTCCGATTGCATTCAACCAGTTAATATTATTTTTGATTGGACACTAGTCAGTAACTAGTGTAATGTATCTAGTCCTTTCTTCTGTGTAGACTGAATTCTATCAGTCAAGCTTGCAATGTGGCTACCATGCTAGGTGGCTCGCCATCACGGTGCACTGTGAATTGTTGGTGTTAGATGGTTGAATGCAATCGGCAGGGAGCCTTGGACCTAGTTGGCACTCATCAACAAGGCGTGTCTGCAACCTCGAAGGAACTCATGTCCCTTCTGAGATTCGAACCCAGTGCTGCAGTCAGAGACGTTACCACTGAGCTATTTGGGCTCGCGATTGACCTCCTGTAGGACTTAAGTGGATATTTTCGATTAGACACTAGTCAGTAACTAGTTTGATGTGTCTAGTCAAGCTTGCAATGTGGCCACCATGTTAGGTGGCTTCCTGTCGATTGCCTCCAACCATCTAATACCAACAGTTAATATCAATCCAAATACTTTAGTTATTGATTGATCATAAAGGTGAAGGTTATCGATATCATGTGACTAAATAGCATAGTGGAAAGGAATAAAAGTTGTTGTTAAGCTTGATAGTATGTGTAGAAATGATTAAGGAGTATTCTGTAATTAGGAATGAATTTCATAAATCGATTAGAGATGTAAAATCAACAACACACATAGGAGGAGTTAAGTAATTTATCTGAACAGAGGTAAAAAATATTCCTGTCAGGAACACATATATACATACACATATAAAGACAAAATTAAGGGTAAGAAATTCTACTATCGGAACAATTATTATTATTTATTATTAATTCCTTCACGTTCCCAGTGGAACATAGGGCTTCAAGCTAGAGGCTTGAAGTTTCTGTAGCAGTGTTTATTTTTACAGGATGGGTTTGCTAGCTTCATGCGCAACCTTTCCTCTTTACCAGCTTTTTATTTCTGCCTTAGCGAGGTAAAGGAGTGCGTCTGTGGCCAGGGATCGAACCCCGGACCATGTGAATGGTCGGCGAGCGTCCTAACCGCTGTGCCACCGACGCTCCTATCGAAACAAAGTATAATTGAAATAATAGAATTAATGTAAAGCGTATTTGCTGTGGTAAGACAAGATTAGCAACGATTTCCTTCTGAATGCGTAAATTCGGTTCTAGTCGTTTAGTGGTAATCTCTTCATCGATGTATAAAGCTCTAATTAGCTACAGATATCATTATCACTTTGGTTAAAATTGACTAAACACCAAATTATGTTCCCTAATTTTTGATAACATATGTGAAAAATTGATTTGATTTCACTTGACTTGAGGAAATATATATTTTTCACATAGGTTCGGATTCATTTTACTCAGTTTTTTTTAGAAAAAGATAGTAGATCTTGGTGTAAGTGTATGATATAAGGTTATGTAGTGAATTATGCTTCCATCTCTCGACCGATAGCTGCTGCATTGACGTGGTTGTTGAACTCCCATCACGTGACCACTCACCGAGGTACACTAACTGAAAGTGTTGTTCCTGTAGGCCCTACCATGGTAGAAAGGTTGTTTCAATACCGGTTAGACTAGAAGCAGTTATCGTAACAGTCTAAGTAGCTCACATTACGTTGAGGGTACGTGAGTGAAGTAGTACTACTACTAACGACAAATAGGGATATAACAGTAGTCAAGTGTTCCCCTCAGATGACCAGTAAGTCAGTTATGCTGCTTATCTGCCTAGGGAAGGGGATTAAAAAAGATCGTCCCCGAAAATTGTACATCCCGAGTTACTTTACGGCTGTCTGCAGCCGTCAGTAAGATCTTAATACAGGCACAACTCCAAACAGGTATATGTAACCAGCCTCAGGCAGTTGTCCTCTGGGCTCTGCAGTTAGGTAACACTAATACTCCTTCTTTTTCAGGAAAAAAATCAACCTTCACGGTGTGTGGAACCGCGAAGTAATAGTCGCCCATACATTTCCTTAAGTGTACATAGCTTTCCTGATCATTATCCTGTTCCCTCGATATACAGAGGTTCGAACACTCAAATAGAGTTATTATCACCTAGATGATAGATTCACTTCACCACCTCTATTCTATTACTCAATTACAGTGATTATAAAATTGGTGTTTAACTTTAAGCAGTCATAAAGCTGGTGTTATTTGAAATAAGTGACAACTTCATATATCATCAGTATAACTCTCCGGTTATCTGAAACTCCATGAATTGAAGACATTTGTTTATTTTTTTTTCAAGGGTTCTTCTCTGAATGTTAAATTCATTTATCTTACGCTTTTCTCTGAATGTTTCTCCTACTTCATTTCATATTTCACAGGTATTGAATAAAATTAAGAGCTTTCTACATGAAGAAGATTCTGATGGGAATGCTTGGCATCGTTTAACACACCTTAAACGTGATACTACATGTAACAATGGAAGCAGTCAGCATAATAATACCAGTGATATATTGGGTCTAGAAAGTTGTGCCTATTTTCATCGTCTATGGTCTGTTATCCAGCTAGTGTTTTGTACTCCATTTGGACAGAATGAGTACACGGTTGAAGAAATGTTTGGTGAAGGAATTAATTGGGCCGGTTGTGCTATCATCTTACTCTTAGGTCAACAACGTCGATTTGAAGCACTTGATTTCGGTACGCTGATTCTACGGCTACAACGAATCGATAAGAAAGATTCTACACCAATGGGAGTTGTAAGTTTTTTCAGATAATGCATTAATTTAGAAATTGATTATTTCCTTAACGTTGTCATTGGGTGGGACAATGGCCTTGTTTTTCTGACTGAAAGCTTACTGCATATAGCAGCAGCAGTACAGTTTGTTCTTAATTTGTATTTTGTTCATCACGTGATTGACTTGTAGTCTGGCTACTTACTTATTTCAATTCATTCCGTTGAGGGGTTTAAGCGGAAAGCTTTGTTCACTTTTAAGATATTTACTTCGTAAAAGACGCTTTCATGTCAATGACTTTTGAACTTGAATTGCGCAAGGTATATCTTTTTCCCCTAAAGTTCTAGATTCATCTTACTGGCGGAAAAAAAGGGGAAACGTAGGTAGAGGAGAACAGTCTACTAATTAGTCGGTTTTGTCTATAAGACAGAATTGTATTTTATGCTTATCTTTACTTCTAAGACTTTCAAGTGTACAAACATGAAGTAATTAACGCTTTATATAAATTTACTTCTATCTGCACTCGATAGCTGTGTCGGTTACATTTCAGTGATTGAAGTCATACTGCCTCAGGTGACCACCAAACCAGTCAGGTGTGCTACCTCTCCTCTCTGGGGACAGATGGAGGTTACAAAAAGGTTAACCCCGAAAATTTTACATTCCGACTTAATTTGCGGCCGTTCGTAGTCAATGGTAATATATCATAAAACCATTTCAAACAGGCCTGTGTGTGTGGCCGGCTTCAAGAATTTGTGCTCTGATCAATTCATGTAGGCGTAATCCAGTCATAAGTGAGTGGTGAAATTTCAGATTTGAGTGGTATCATCGCTGTCCATGGATACGAGCTCTTTTTTGAGAACACTTTCCGCCTAACTGATTTTGAATGACTGGTTCGTGCATTCGAGCATTCTGTTGCTCATTTGGTTGAACAAAAGCCGATTTGGTTCAGAATTCGACTTATTATTATTATATCAGCATTATTAAAAGCAAACTTGATACATTATGGGCACCAAGATATACACTACACAAAATCTCATGGTTTGTACTAGGGCTGGGATACTTCCTGGTGGTTGTCTTAAAGGATCATCCTCCCAAGCCTTTGAGCTTGATGTGGAGTAGCTTCAGGAGCTACCTTCTCATCGTTTCAGGTGACCAAAACAGGATTCTAGAACCCATGTACACTAAAGGTTTGGAATTAGGGTTTCTCAGCTCCTCTGCGTAGACATGGATGCGCACCAGTCAAGTTGTAGGCACCAGACTTTCTATTTGATAAGAAAAGTTAGTGAATTTCTTATGCAATCGGGGTATACATTAGTATGAATAGTGCTACAGTTTGTAAATGTCAGCTTTTTTGTTAAGATTATGAGATTTGTGTGGAATTTGATTTCTAATTTTAGATTTTGTCAGAAAATAGCATCAGTTAGAGAGAACATTGGAAATCAGGGAGCACTAGACAGTTGTTTTGTCCTATTTCGGGACTCTTCATCAGTACGCACCTACGAATTCGCGAGGCATCGAACCGAAGACTTTCATGTTATGAGACTAATTGGGTGAGAATTCGGTGACCTGGATTTGATCCCTTACAAGGTTGTGGGGGTACACGCCAATGAAGAGCCCCAAATTCGGACGAAACATCTCTCCAATGCTCTCTCTGAATCAACGTTAGTTTGTGACGTAATCTAACATTTCAAATGAAGCTTTTTATTTGTTTGAATGAAATGCGAATTCTGTTTTTCTTTTCCCTCTTCAAAATACTATTTTGTTTTAGTCACTGGAACGACTGGCTGCTCGTCTAAGTCGATTCTCAGTACTCAATCGTCAAATATTTTCTACTCTAAGTGTATATCTTCACCCTATTGATCGAGTCGATGAGACAAGTGTTCGTGTACGTCAATTCCCTCTGCCTACATGGTCAAAATCTTAATGATTCTCCTTCTCTTCTCTTCTTTTTTTTCCAGTTTACCATTATGAAGTTTCATAATATGTTTTTTTTTTTAATCCTATCCTACATATATAATATAACAAAGAATTTACAATTATGCTTATAATGTACTATACTGATTTAATTTTAACTATGCATATATATATTTATTGATATTTTTCACAATTCCTATCCATTTTGTTAAATAATCATGTGATTTTAATGCATACCGGTAATTTCTTTTTTTTGGTTGATTTGTTGTCTTGGTTTCCCCTACCTACCCCTATCCCACCTGCTTACTTCCAAGAGAAAATCAGCTATTTTCTCTCGACCAGTTTATCATATTATCCTAATGAATCACTGTTTATTACTCACACTGATTACTTCTTTGTTTTTTGCTATTGTAAAAATTGTTTTTTATCTATAACACTAATTTGTTTTGGGTTGTTTTTTAAAAATCTTATACAGTCAGTCAGTCAGTTATCGTTTATGCCAGGTTATTGTTATTTGTATAGGTTCAGTTGGATTGTATTCACAACAGTATACAATCTGTTGGAATACGCTTTGATTATTTTACTTCAATTGCTTTAGTGTTCACCTGAGACGTTTTGTTGAGAAAAAAAATAATATAATTTGTCATATTTATAATTTTTCACTGGTCCTGTATTTTCTACGTGCAATTATTATCATTATTAATATTATTATTACTACTATAAAGACACTTTTTTCAAGTTTTATTTCTTTTTTATTTTGTTTTTCCATGTTGATTCGTTGAACCGAAATATTTGGCTTCTGTTGACACTATCGGCTCCTGGTACGGACGTTTCATCAATGATTGCCAATACAGTGGATGAGTAGTAGTGGTCTATAGTGGGATCAGACTTTTGCGTTTGGAATGATTGGGGTACTGGGTTTAAGTCTGGGCGGGAACACCACCTTTCACTCACAGAGGCTTGCAGGTGCATATCTAGTTGACGAGTTTCAAATAGGGATACGGAATGCACATACTTGATTCCTCTGGCAGTCACCATCACCAACCCATATTACATCATAGACTTCGTTTACTCAAAAAAAAAAATCGAAAGCCTGATAAAGTTAAACAACGCAGGACTTTTATTTCTTCATCTAATGTAAATTGGTTTAAATCAAAAACTAGGGTTTTATAGCTGATACATTGTGTGTGTATATGTGTGTGTGTTAAATTTTGACTAATGTCACTGGGCCGGCTAGTGGAGTGGTATTTTTTAATTCCCAGTAAAGACGTAGAAAAGTAGGTGTATGAACCTCATGCCTGCTAATGGTTTTCAGATTTACTTATATACTTCGTTTTGACGTTTCTTTTTTTATTCCTTCACGTTCCCAGTGGAACATAAGGCTTCAAGCTAGGGCTTTGAAGTTTCGGTAGCAGTGGTGTTTACTTTTACTAGCCTCGTGCCCAACCTTCCCTCTTTACCAGTCTTATTACTGGCTTAGTGAGGTAAAGGAGTGTGTCGGCTGGGAATCGAACCCCTAACCAATTGCGTGGTTGGCGAACATTCTACTGCTGTGCCACCGACGTTTCTGAAGAACATAAATTATCGATGTGTGTATGGTTTCAGCCGTTGCTTTCAATCTTTTTCTATAGTTTGGTTTGTAAGGGTTAGTTATGTTTTTACGAGTTGATCACGGATTGATATCAGTTAGAGAACCATTGAAAACCAGCACTGGACAGCTGCTGTTTCATCCTAGTTTGAGAATCATCTGCAGTACGCACCCACTGCCAGGGTTCGAACCCAGGACCTTCCGCTTACAAGGCAAGCTCGTATACCATTCAGCCACTGGGACCCGATTCAATGACTCATGAATTCTAACTTCTACCAATTCGTGATTTAGCGCGACCCCAACCATTGTCGTTGGTGGGACATCCATCCACACACGTGACATCTAATTGGACCTCACTGGTCACGACTTCTCACTAGAACTCCAGGAAACTCCATCCTGTAGCAAGTCACTAGCGAGCATCAGATTAATTTTCTATAGTTTCGTTTGTAAGGGTTAGTTATGTTTTTACGAGTTGATCCCCATTTTGTGCTCCAAGTTGAAAATAAAGCTTTGAAGTGTGGAATGTCAGTAGCGTCGGTGTTCTGTTTCTTTTTTTAAATTTTCACGAAGCGGGTTACTGGCTTCATGGCCACCCTTCTCTGCTTTACCCTGTTTACCCCTTCGGTTAGGCGAGGTTTAGGAGTGTGTCGACCTGGAATCAAACTCCAGATCAAGTGCTCAGTGAGTGAGCATTCTAACACTGAACCACTGGTGGCAAACTAATGTCTGTATTACAGTCTAACAGGAAGTCAATGATGCCTGACTTCAGTACTGGGCTATGCAGCATCAGCCCTTTTGAGGTTTCAGTTACGCATTGATGACGTGTGCCACAATCAAGCTTCCTGCCAATTGCATTCAACCACCAGAAACTCAGTACTTTCCCAAAGTCTTAAGTGCACTTAAGACTTGTAGCTTCTTTTTAAAGAAATTTAAATCTTTTCAAAATTCATTATTTGTTATATTTCTTGAAAGTAATGATAAAAGGATATTTAATTTTTAACATGAATTTGATTTACCTGATTTCAACCTTGGAACATTGAACACAATAAATGATGAATAAAAACAAACGATATCATGATGATGAAAAGGAGTCTCTTGAATGTTGATGTTGAAATGATAAACTATGTGAGATGAATAAGCAGAATGTGATAAATACTTGTGCAAAGATAATTTTTAAGGTTAATGTAAAAAACACAACAACAAAAGTTTCGATATGCTTGATCAGTGAGAATAAATAACTTCTTGTTTAGAATAATTGATCTTATAAAATATTTAGCTATCAATGTTCAACAAACAACTATCCACTATTTTCCTCTCGATTTCAAAAAAAAGAAAAACAACTAAATCTTTATAAAGGGGGAAAGTACATCGATATGAATATTGCTCAAATTAATTTCAGCGGTTTTTGCCCCCCCCCCCCCCATTCCACTGTACAGTTATCATGATTCAAAGCAAAAGCAAACAAAATACAGGATAAATTATCTTTTGAAGATTTCTCCTCTTATCTTTGTTTTTATTTGGTTCACATTGTGTAATTTTACTTCTCCTGTGAAGATGATGTCTCTGGTAGGATATTCATCAGTTTTTGGCTATTCTTAGTGACGAAGTCTGTAATAAAGACAAAATGTTTGAGATTAAGTATAAGTGAGTAGATAATAGATAATGTAGAACAAGACATATAAGCGAACAATATTGTTTCCATGGAGGATTTCATCAGGAGCTGACATCAGTTAGAGAACCACTGGAAAACCTGGGAGTACTGGACAGCTGTTTCGTCCTAGTTTGGGACTCTTCAACAGTACGTACCCATCGCCAGGGTTCGAACCCAGGGCCTTCTGGTTACAATGCGAGCTCGTAGACCATTGGATCGGGTCCCAGTGGCTCAATAGTCTACGAGCTCGTAACAAAGGTAGTAAGTAATATGTGTATATGTAGACAATTCAATAAATAAGTAAATTAGGCCAAATCTTAAAAGGTGAAGTGGACAGATAATCAGAGTTTAAATAAACATCATAAAAGTACGAAGGAGATGGAAAATAAGAAAGGGTGGGAGGGTTTTGAATAGAATTCACCTAGGCTAAGCAAGGAAGAGACAAAGGTAGAACAAACTTCTTTTGTATGCAAAGACTAGGATTGTTCTCTCGAATTAATTCCCATAGCTTCGGCTAAGTGTAAAAGATGGGTTCTGATTCCGTTCGAAAGGCTCGATGGAATGGGATAGATAACTTTGATGACACTATTTTTGTCCACTTGGTGACCACTATCAATCAAATGAGCCAAAATAGAACTTCGTATAGATTTTATTTGATCTTTTCCGAACCATGAAGGAAGATGCTCATTAATGCGTTTGTTAAGCTGTCTAGTTGTTCGCCCTATATAGTAGTTTAGAAACTACTTCAACATTATGACATGCAGTGCCCAAGTCTTTGTCAAGTTCATTCAACTGCCATATGACAATGCTACGTGTCAGGTGATACACAATGGAAAACTCAGCTAGGCGTTTGAAGTGAATACAGGAGTAAGACCAGCCTGCTGCCTATTATCACCGATGATATTCTTAATTGTCGTGGATTAGATTATGCGTCAAACTGTGCGTTGGGAGTGAGTGAGAAGACAGGAATACGCTGGACCACCGATAAGAAGACTGTAGAAGATCTGGATTTCGCGTGTGGACCATTTATATTTAATGTCACCCAAACTTAAAGAATTGCAGGCGAAGTGGAGGACAGAGAAGACAAGATTCCAGGTGAACAGAGAGAAGAAGGGGATAGTGAAGATTACAAGCCAACAGCGACAACAACAACCAGCACCAATCACCATCAACGGGAGAGATTTGACAGAGGAAGCATCGTTTCAACCACAGATGGCGGAACGGATGAAGGTGTCAAAGCCAGCCAGAATAGGAAAGGCAGGATACACCTTTATCAACCTGAAATCAGTTTGTAAATCTGCACTCAGCCAGCATAAAGAACAACATTTGGATTTTCAACACAAATGTGAAGTCAGTCAGTCAGTTCTTCTATATGGGTCAGGAACTTGTACTGTGCTTGCCTCACAGAAAGCATTTCCAACAGGTCACTGCAGACTTTTATCAACAGTTGCCTTTGCTGTCTCCCTATTGAAAATCAAATGGCTAGCCAGAAAGAATTAGTACAAAGAAACTCTGCCAATGAACCAAACAAGAACCTATCGCTCAACAAATACGTAGGAGAAAATGGAGATTGGTCAGGCATACGTTGAGCAGATCGTTGAATAAAATCGTGCGCAACGGAGGCCATCACCATCCGAAAATAGAAGAAAGTGGAGATGTGTAGTTGAAGCCCCCATGTTCCACTCGGAACCCAAAGGAATAATAATACCGACTGATTATGAATTTTAATTATGTTGAAGATTAATTTATACCTTAAGATGTAGCTATTCATGTTGGAGCTTTTTTCAAGTAAACATTGATTATCCACATTGTACCTAGATAGTTAACGCTTCTAACCGAAGGTCTAAAATCATAATCACACGAGAATCCTTCAACACGAGCACCGTTATTTGCAAATAATCTAAAAGATTTGTAAGTTAAGATAAGAATCAAATTAGTTTGATGTTCTTCTAGCTTTGCTATTCGTTCACTGGTATTTCATCTCCAGGTTTGACTACCTTATTACCCTTTACTTAACATAAAAGTACTTTTAATGTTAATTAAGTAATACTTCGTCTGCTATTGAAGTTATTTAGCGTAGTTACTTTTTCTTTCTTTTCTTTTTTTATTCCATTGTCTTCCATGCAGAACATATGGCTTCAAGCTTGTGATTTAAAGCTTTAGCAAAGGCGCTGTTGTTTGTTTTTATTGGGATAGAGTTGATAGCCTCACGCGCAACCTGCCCTCTTTACTGGGTGTATTACCGGCTAAGTTAGGCTTAGGAATGTGCCAGCCGGGTATAGAACCCGGACCAATGTGAGTGGTTGAACCATTGACAGACAGCGTATCGGCGTTATGTGCGCCGGTGGCACAGCGGTTAGGACTCTCGCCGACCATACAAATTGTCTGGGGTTCGATCCCCCCAACGACGCACACCTGATATCATCGGTTGGTCGGCCTTCAAAATTTGGTCTACCGATATCACATGCTGAAAA